GAAAATAAATTTTTTAATATGTTTATCTTCTGGGAAAAGTGATATCTCTTTATTTACACTGTAAGACGCTAGAAGGAAGCTGGGATTTATTTATGTACATCCACCCAAACCCCCTTCATTTATGTTTATTAGCATTTTTGTGGTCCTTTCTGGGGAGTTTCGGCTTGTAATCAATAAATTTTAGTTAAGGAAGCCCATGAAATGAGGTCTTTGAAGACAAAGTTGATTAGTGAACAAAGACATGAGAAACGGCTGAAATACTGTTTCATGATGAATTTAGCATGGAATCTTATACACAGATCTTAAACCTCTGTCTTTATGGTTTTATCCTACTAAAGTTAAATTTCAATTGAGGCTGATAGGGCTGGATTAGTGAGAGTCAGATAATTTAGTGCATATGATGTCAAAGCAGAATGGCATCTCTGGTAACGAGCCTTTTAAAAGTGGTTTTGCCTATACAATATATTTTGGTTAATATGACAAGAATTCCAACAATGCTCACGACTTTAAAGTCTTCTGCAATCCCATAAATCCGTCAACCACAATTAAATATTCCATAAAGTCACACATCCCTGCAAATAAATTATCACATGCTTTTTAACAGGTCACTAACGATGACATTCTTACTGACGTCTGTTCCAAAAACTGACCATGAATAAAGAACCAAAAATGACCGAGCAATTAAAGACATTGAATAACTTGGAAAAAGTTTTTTTTCATTCAAGCACACTTTATTTCTGTAAAAGTACTCAACAGAGTGTGAATATTTGGTCGCTTCATTAGGGAAAATGTAAAGGAGAGAAAAGCACATTCAACAAACTTTTTTTTTAAAGCACAAAAGTTTCTGTTTTCCTTGTTTTTGTTTTCAAATATGCATGAAGCAGAGAGAGCAAGTAATGTACATAAGTTTTTCCCGTACATGAGATTGAGAAGGAAGGAAAATTGGTATAATAAAACGTCGGAATGTCTCTCCACTGCTGTTTATATGTGGGGGTGTTTTAAATTGCATTTTACAGTGTGGAACTTTTTATATTGCAATTTAGTTCAAGGATCAAATTACCAATTTCCTCGCTCTCTCCTTCATTAGACTCTTCATCCTTTTTGAATTTCATTTCTTGTCTACAACAATGTCCGCATGCGCTTTCTCAAAAAAAAAATACTCATTCAACAATTTTTTGTTGTGTATCACGATGACTGCTACCCGAGAGCGAGAGAAAGTTTGTCGCTCAGTATTATCATAGCCTTCGTATAGACAACATCGCTTGTGAAAACTGATATATTCATCCGTGCCATTACAGAAATAAAAAAAAAAAGAGAGAAAAAGTATTCATTTCACATACATAATATTTTCTTCCTTTGTTTTCTGTGAAATTCAAATTGTTTTTTATAAACAAAGCAAAAAAAGAAAAGTTTGAAGAAGTGGAAAAATTCAGCAGCTCAGTTCTTCTTCCTCAAATGAATCTTTAATGTGAGAGATTACAATTAATTTAATTAATTATCCAAATTGTCTATTGAAAGTGGAATAATTTTTTTAAGTTTATGTTTGTTGCCGTCGTCTGTTCAGACTCAAAAGAGCTTAATTTAAAGAGTGAAAGAAATTCAAGTCATGGCTAAATTGTTCATTACATAAAATGACCTTTATAATGTGCCATACATACATTCCATGTACTTTTTTTCAACAAATCTTTGTCCATGAACTATTTCTCTTCCATCTCAATCCACTTTTCTTATTGTCGAAGTCATATCATGAGAAACGGTACATCTCTTCCAACTCGTCCTTGTTCTGATTCACGATTCAAAGCTATGTGCTCATCTATGTATCAAAAAGAACCTTCGCTGGTGTTCTTCTTTCCTACTGAGAGGATTCTGTGCTGTCAAGTTTAGGAAAACTTTAAATTCTTTTGTGGACAAGTGGCAATGACGCTTTTTGTGTTTTCCATCAAATTTAAAGGATTCTAAAGGTGTAATTCGATTCGGTGCATTCTCAGCATCAAAGTTTGAATTGTTTTCTTTAAACTATTCCCCACTTCCCTGAATAATGAGCATCACATGTAATAGACCAAAAATATGATCACTCTATGGAAGATCTGATAGACAAAAAGTCTGCAAAATTTCCAAGGAGATCGAATGTGTAGATGATAGACAGACAATGAGTAGTCAGCATCACTTTTTCTTTCAAAGAAGATTTTTTAAAAGTTTTCGAGGTCTTTTATGTTTTGAACATTTGTCCTCTTGACGACTTGATCGATGAAATAATTGGGTAAAGGAATAAGGATTGATATTTATGGGATGCTTGCTGCCTAGTAACGTAGATTATTGAAATTATTCAAAAAAAATATTTAAAAAGCAAATTAATGCGTGCGAGTAGATGTGGGTTCCTATCAAAGTATTTCCTCGTTTTTCTGTTCTCAACTTACTTTATTTCAATTTATTCTAATAGTTCTGCTTGCCACATCTTTTTGTTGTTCCTCTATCACAAACTCTCCTCATTTCTTTTTTTTTTTATAGCTACGTGCATAAAAAACTGTCTGCGAAATTTTTGTCGTCTTCGTAAACTTTTTGTAAGTTGATCAAAGTTTCTCGTCTGAGCCTTAAACCATTTGACAAATTCTTAACAATAATTGTTATCCCTGCTCTTTTAATTGATTGATTTAATGAGTGATGGATGAAATTAATGTGTCAAAATCGTGCCCTCAAGACTCTTATGCTTTGTTTCATCATCCTACAATTGTGAAAATCTACAATGTTGTCACAACTATCTAAATATATACAATTGAGTTTATGTGCTAAGTAAATGAAATTTTTTTGTTTTTGTACAAAGGAACGTTCTCAATATCAAATTGTGGAAGTAAAGTGACTAGTGCTGTGTGCAATTTGATACACATATCCATCCAATAGTTTTGTGTTTATTGAAATATTATGAAAAATAATTAGCGTACATATTTATCGGAAATGATTGATGGAAATTGAATAACACGATTCTCTTTTATCTCGGTTTATATCAATAATTTATAATGAGCTTTTAACATGATTAATTAATCGAGTTCCAACATTTGATTATATAAAAAAGTTGTGAAACTATTTAAAATAATTAAACTATTTAGTACAGTGTATCAAGTAACTGTTTCATTGGGAATCAGACTTCCAATGAGCACTAAAGCATCACTAAGCGATCTTGAAAATCCCAATATCATGATGACTAATGCAAAAATTCTATTGAAGATGCTGAAAAATTCCGAGATAAAATTAAAATAATTCCAGTTTTATGATATGGATATTAAGCATAGCAGGTGCCGATTTAATGTGAAAGAAAAGAACACAAAGAAAGAAATTCAATCAAAAATGATGCTAATTTGCATAAATTTGCTAATTAGTCTGGAAATGAAAGTGCAATCAAATCAACTGTGTGTGGTGACTTTAATACTAATTTATTTGACCTCGTTCGGTGTTAATTCTCGCATTAAAGCCGATTTAAATATGTTCTGTCGTGTTTTAGATTAAACATTAAAAAAGTTTATCATAAGTAATTAATTTGTTTGAGCCAAACTAATGTGCGCGAGCAAAAAAAGTCTCTTCTTGATCGATTAAATTTTATTGGCCACTTTTAATGTCTTTTTTGGTATACAACGAATCTCTTTCCTTCCTATCACTTTACAAGTTTATTTTCGTCGTAATTCACTTCATTTCATAACTGACCTAGAAAGATTTTTCGTATTTTCTTTTGTAGCTCTTTCTATTCTCTCGTCTTTAAAGCATGCGAGTCGAATTAAGTATTCTTTTTGTGTTTGCGAAAAAAAAGGTTCTTAGTTTAAGTTTTATAAATAAAAATAGTTTTTTTTTTGTGGCTGTTTCGTATACACACTGATTGACATTTACATTTTATTGCATGTCTCATGTTGTTTACTAATTGATTATCAAATTATTCAATTTTACATGTTTTTGATAGTTCTCGATTGAGGAAGCGACAAGCACTTTATCGCATATTAAAACAAATACATAATTATTCAAAAGTAAATAAGTTCGTGCATTGGCTGTGTTGAGCACAGTTTTTCATGTGTTGCATATTATTGCTTTTTTGCGCTCATACATTTCATAATAATTACTATTACGGCTTCCACTTTAATCTGCTTTCATAAGAGAAAAGACTGGTGAATAGTGAGTGTAACTTTCACATTTTTTTGTGATTATACTTTTTAAAATTTCTCTTTTTTTCTCTTTTTGTCGCAAAAAAATGATGTCGGGAATTTAAATTCTTTAAATTAGGGTAACTTCATAATATGCTGATCTTGGGAAAATTGTATTTTTTGCTGAGAAGCATTCCATAAATTATATTCTAATGTTTAAAACATTTTACACTTGAAAAATTTCATTGTTCAGAATATTTTTACGGTTTTATATGATTTAAATTTTCACATTTGAAATTAGTTGTAAGCCCCCTTTTTCGGAAATTTTATTTTCGTTCAAGAATTTGAAGTGTAAACATCATATATTTTTATTATTTATTATTATTACACAATCGCTTTTTATTACGTATTAACGTGGAAACATTGACATTCAATAAATTAAATAAATAGTTTTTATAACCAATTTGCAAGTCATTTGCAACTCACAATTTTATTGAATGCAAAAAAAGGCAATTTGAAAAACACGAATCAATGAAATCCCTAACTTTAATGCCTGTGACCGTAGTTTTAAATAAATATTTCTCTTGATATTCAACTTGACCCGAATTTCCAATAAAAAAATTGTTCTCCGTTGCTTTAAAAAGTAAAAAAGGAGAAAAATACTTTTTATCAACAGTCAAAAGTTTGTTAGCACATAGTTTTCATATTTTTTTAATGTAGAATGAAATAGATAAACATATTTGCACAAAGATAAGCCATTTATGTACAGGAAAAGTTTGCATTATGTTGTGTTGATGTTTTTCATTTCCTGACCACCCACAATAATATTCATAATTCAAAGTTATTTATGTTTTCTTTCTTATTCTCTTCTTACAGAAAAAGTGCATCTTAAGATGGAGCCTGATCAGCAGTCTACAGCTGAGAGGGACAATGAAACGACACAACAAACAGAAACAGAACAAATAAAATGTGAGGAAAAGTGTGATAAAATTGAAAAACCAGAAGAAACAAAAATCAATGAAAATAGTCAATCAAGAGAGACTAAACCTCAAGAGCAAAATTCAATTAAAAAAGATGATTCTAATGTTGTTGTTCCGCAAAGTATCCAATTAAATTCAACAGATAATAAGTCTGAGTTAGAGACTAAAACTAATGAAACTAATTCAGAGAATAACGAAGCCTCGAATAGCAAGAACGATGTTGATAAAACTAATGAAAATAGTGCAGAACTAAGTGATGAAAAGAAAAGTGTAGAAATAGAAAATAAGAATAATAATGATAGTAAAACAAATAGCAACTATATGTCAGCTTTTCCAGGTATAAAAACTGGAAATCCTGGTGGTAGTGATGATAAAATTGAGATAGATAGAGAGAGTTTGTTCGATAGAGTGATTTTATATTCCCTAAAGAATACCGTTGTCGATAATAGTCGTTTGGATGCTGCAAAGAACAAATACATTAAAAATAATGGCAATGTGAATGCAAGCTTTAATAATAATAATAATAATAATAATAATAATAGTAGTAATATTAATAACAATAGCAACAATAGTAGTAACGGAAGTGATAGCAATTCGACAAGTAAATCCGTAGAAAAACTTATAGAAGAATTTAAAGGTAGCTGTAAATCAAATAATGGAAATACTCCATCAACGACAACGTCAAAAATTAATAACGAACAACACAAAATTGATAATAAGGAAATATTAAATGGTGCTGATAAAAGTATAGATAGTTTAGAGCCAGCGAATAAAAATGTAGAAAATGAGAAATTAGTGGAGGATGTTAAAGTTTCACCGAAGCCATCAGACGATGTCGTTAATAGTTCGTCTGTACATGATGTAATTGATCTTAAAACAAATTCACCAAATATGGTAGTGTCTCAACAACAAATGAACACAGAAAATGAGGGACTTGACTTTAGAGACTCATCGAGTAGTAATACAAAAAATAATGAGGATAAGGCTGGACCTACAATGCTCGACTTGAGTGTGAAACGTGATGACAAATCAGTCCCTCCAATAAAACGTAGTCATGCACTTTACGTTGGTATACCAGATTTCTCTAAGCAAATATTTACTGCACCATCAATTACTCGTCCTACAAATACACAAATGAATCCTCTTCCATCATCGTCATCTAATAATGCGGGTGTAGCGCCAAAAGTAAGAAATCCAGACTTTTCAAGTATGTCGCGTGCACCTGAATTACAAATGAGAAATCCAGACTTTTCAAAAGGTTTTGGTAGTCTGGAAAATCCACCACCATCTAATGTTCCAATTACACCATCAAATTTTCCCGAGATAGCTCGAAAAAACAATTACATCAGTGACTTACAATTGAAACCGCCACCTAGTGCTTCAATGACACCATCAACATCTTATAAAATTGATTATCGTCTACCTTCAATGCCCCCACAAAAAGTTCTCAATGAACAGCAACAAAATATAGACAGTAATGCACATAGCAAATCACCTTATCCGAGTTCAAAGGGAGAAAACGAAAGTATATACAATCAGCAATTAGTGGATGAGCCAATGGCTCACATCATTCACAAAAATCAATTTCTTCCAACTACAAAAGAATCCATTAATTCTAATTGGAATGAAAATAGAGAACGATTACTTGGTGGCTCATCACATTATGAGATGATGCAATTGAATGAAAAGAAAATGCCAGGAACATCACAGCTATTTCCTTCAAATGATGACCTAAGGAAATTACATCCAGCTCATTATCCATATGCGTACAAAGACAGAGAACTACAACATCAAAGCAATGAATTCTCATTAAAACAAAAAGAACAACTATTAAGACAAGAAGGCACAACAATTACGATAAAAAATGAAAGTAACGCAAAAACGCCAACACAAGAGTTTCCTGAGCGGCGTTCTGCTGATCTTTTTCGTGACTATAAACTCAAGCAACCCAAAGAATCACCAGATACAGCAAGACGAGTTAACGAACCTCCACCACTTGCGTATCAACAGCAATATCCAGATTTTCCACCAAATTATCTTCGGAGTCCTAAACCAGAAAATATGAATATCAAAATGAATCCAACCTCACCAGTTCCACAATCAAGTCACTCATCTCTTGAGTACCCTCCACTTATGCCGCATTATAAAACACCATCACCAATTCCACATCGGCAACAGAAAAGTCCGTCCATGCATGGTAATTCACCGATGAATCCACCACAGAATTGGCCTCCAATGCCTTCTCAAAGTTCACGACACTCAATGAGTCCAGCAAATATGTCATCGTCACCATCACATCTATATCCACATGCTGGAACTTCTAAACCAACAATAAGTCAATCTCAGAGTCCTATAACACATTATCCTTATCATACATCGCCGAAACTAAATCACCAAATGTTTAAACATCCAGAAGCTACAAGTTCTCGACCAATTGATCCAAAAAGACCACCAATGCAGAGTCATAGTCCTGTTCAAAATTATTATCACCAAAACTATCCTGACTTTGGACGTAAATTTGGGGCTGAAAGAAACAATGCAATGTTTATGCAAGAACAAGGACTCAGGATTCCTTCTAGCTACTCTCCAATCGACACAAAGCCTTTAACAATTGATCTTCCACAACCAAGTATCCCATTAAGGCAAGATCTTGAGATCCGATCAGTGCGTGAACCTTCTGACAATAGACATTCACAATATAGACATCCATCATCGTCTAATTATGTTATGTCTCAAGAAAGAGAACTTTCACGCCTTCCTCCTACGCAACAGCTACCATTGTCAGAAAATATTAGTATACGAATGCCTGAAATACGTTCACAATATCCAAGACTTGAGAATGAGGCATCAATTATTCTACCTGACTTGAAAATAGAAAAAAGAATAAGTGAGCCATCAAAAATTTACTCGCCAATTCCGACAAGACGACAAGAGAGTATCCCAGAACTCTCAATTATTCCAAAAATTAAAACAGAACCTCCATCCAGTACACCAACACCATCAAATTCAAGTATTATTAAGTCATCGAATACAATTTTTACTGCAGTGAAAAGAGAATCGCCTTTAGACTTGTCTGTAAAAACAATTAAAACTAAAGCAGATTCAACCGGTTGTGATCCAGACTTTCGTTATAAAAAAGAATCAAAATTAGGCTTAAAAGTAGAATTTACTCCCAATTTTGGAAATATTGCAAAAACTGATTGCCGGCAACAAGCCCGATTAGGTCCTCAAGATTACAATTTAGAGAGATCTGCTCATGAAATTCCTGTGCGTTATGTAAAAGACCAGGATATTGAGCGGAACTCCATAGCAAGTAAAATTCTTGAACCACAGGTTGCTACAAATAGTAGAAATCACTTTTATGATTACAAACAGCAGCAACCAACTTCTGATGCTGACAGACCGCATGCGCCAGTTCCTATGCTACCGAATTATTATCCCGATCGACATAAACCAAATAATGTTTATGAAGGGAACAACAATATAACATCAAATGCACAACTTCCTGAAAATGTTCGTCGTTCGTACGAAAACTCAAGACAAGAAAATAATTACCCACCAAAAACTTTTCAACCAATTCCACAACGGACCAACTATCATTCATCTCAATCAATGGCACAAAACAATGTTCCGTATCCTGTGATTAATAAGACCTCACCAGCCATGACATCTCAACCCTCTAATTCAAAAGATCCTCGTTATTTAGAGAAAGAAAGAGACCGAAAATATGTTGAAAATATTCTCTATGGCAGAAATCGTAAGGAATTGGATCAAAAGCCATATCAACAAGATTCAAGACAATTTCAACCAATTACGTCACCGCCAAGAAAAAGACACAATGAAATGTCAAATCAACACATGCATGATCCAACTGCTCCAAAACAAAGTCGTGTTGAGGAACCACCCAGATTATATAGCTCGAATATGCCTCCTCATGCTTATGAAAGACGTGAATCAAATATGAATGCCTGCCCACCAACACACGTCAGACATGAGACTTATCCTAAAGTTGTTTCAGCATCAACTGATACGGCTTATAAGCACTATCCAATACCACGAAAAGACGTGATTAAATCTGCCGAAATAATGGCATATAATAATCAAGGTCCAGCTGCAAATTACTATCCAAATCCAAAAGCTGAAATGATTCACCGTAATGATCCAAGTCGGAGTCAAAAGTATTATTCAAGAGAACCAGATAGAAACTTCTATCATCATCAGCAGCAACCACCACCGAAACAGAATTTTCTTCAACGCCCAGATGATGCCTCGTATCCAGTACATATTCCAAGAATCTCTCACCCAGTTCAGGATATGAGCATCAAAGTTGAACAACTCACCCCTGGGCCAATACCGGAAAATCAAGGTGAACCACAAAAGCTATTAAACAATATTTTAATGCCATCAAGTGTAAGCGGTAGTAATGGAAATATTGCCCGCGGTGCAGAACAAAGTACTATACAGAAATTAAAATCGAATTTGGAGCTTAAAGAAATGCAAAAGCTGAAGAAGAATGAATTGTGTGAAGAAATTGAACATATTAAGCTATTAAATACCCAACCACATCATATTAAGATTGATCTTTCTCCACGACAATTCCGAACAAAAGGAGAACTTAAAGGCTACACACCACTACCATTGAATGCTGAAACAAATAAAGCAAGCCCTGATATTCAGCAAAGTGCCACATCTGGTTTCGATTTACTTGATTGGGGAAGTGCATGTAATGACTTTGTTCAACAACTTCAAACTGGAAATAGGAAGCGCCTTAAGAAGAAACGTCCATTTAGTGCAACAAAGAATTTAATAAAAAATGATGAAAAAATGATGGCAAGACAACCAGGAACCACAGCAAATGATTTGTCCGAGATTCCAAAAGAAATTTTGCAATCAATTAATGATAATAATGAAAAGTACTCGTCGAGTGACGAGGACAAACCTCTAGTCGAGATAAAAAATTCAATAACGCATGACAACATGCCAGAGATACTTACAAGAAACTTTAGAGAGAAACAACGTCAAGTTATTGAACAGAAATATGCTGCACGATTAGGACGACCAAGTAGTTCAGAAAGCGAAACTGATACACGAAAAGCATTAGTGATTGTTAAACGTGTAAGACGCTTACGTAAACGAGAGCACCTTGGAATAAAGAAAACTGATGATGAACATTCAGTTGAAGAAGGAGAAATTGATGATGATGCTCATAATAAGAATAAAAATTCAAAAGTTCCTTCAAAGCTTGACGATTTGACGAGCTCAGATGAGGATAAGAAGAAGTCAGTTAATGATGATAAGAAAACTTCTGAATCTAAAACAGTTGACGGCTGTTCAAAAAGAACGAGAAAGTCCATGTCAGAACTGAAAGAGACACAAAAGAAAACTGCCGAAAGTTCAGAAGACTCGTCAGAATCAACAAGTGAAGTAGAAACAACAGAAGATAAAATAAAGAAATTAGCAACAGAAAGAAATGCAAAAAAATTAAAAGATCTAGGCGATGGATCTAATTTCAAAGTTTTACTTCAGGAAGAGGAGACAATGACAAGGTCAAAACGCAAGCTAGAGATTGAAAAGAAATTATCTAATAGTAAAATCTTACGAAATGATAAAATTGTGCAAAATATTACACCTGACAAGAAAGGAAAAGTCGACACGTATACTAGCACAAACAAAAAGAGTCCATTGAAAAGAAAAGATTCAAATAAATCTGAGGATTCAAAGAGAAAAATGCCTGAAAGCGAAACCGAAAAGGAATCTACAAATAGCACAAAAAAGAAACAGAGAAAAATCTCGCGAGCTGGAGACAAATCGTCCACTGAAGCGTCTGAAGAGGAGGAAGAAGAAGCGAACAAAACGGAAAGGTACGTAATTTCTTTCCACAGAGCTTTTGCTTATTCTTTGTTTTCTAATCATTCTTTCAATACAGATTAAGACCACGCAAAAATAAGACGGAGAGCGAAATAACTGCAAAACCAGCCACAAAAGAGACGGTTAAAAAGAAAGTTGCAAAAGAGGAAATAGAAAGCACTTTAAAAGCTTCAGACTACAAAGAAGGCCGTAGATCTCTGTCGGCACTCTACCCATTTAGAGAAGACAAGGTAAATATACTTGCCGTAATTTATTCAATTGCTTTAGGCTAATTAAAACTTTTATTTACTTTTATAGACGTCGAAGTTCACACCAGGATGGGAAATGGAAGCTTACAACTTTAAGCGATCGCTGAATGTTCCTCCAGGTCTGATAACTATTGGTCGTCCTCCACAACATGGTATTTCACATTCTTTACCTGATTTAGATCCCCAGACGAGTGATACATCTGAAATCTTCTCAGAGTTCATTAAGTCGAAGGATAGAGATGTAGGGAAGGATGTAAGAGGTGAACAGTCCAGAACGAGGAACAAGCTGCCACCACCACCCAAACCAGAAATCAAGAAACCACCGAACTCTATCATTGATTTGCTGCATCAGCGTGTTATTCAATCGTCTAACAAGAAAATCAAGCAAACCAAAAAAGCAACAACTGCAAATAATAAAGACAAGGATAAGAACAAGTACCAGGATAAAGACAAAGTCAAAGAAAAGGAAGTAGCAAAGCCAAGCAAGGAAGCAAATGAATCACAACCGACGTCAGCTTCAGAAAAAGAAGGTGACAACTCTTTCGGGTACAAGAAAAATATTTTCGAACCATTCATCATTACATCTCGAACACGAACCGAGAACAATGCAATTCGAAAGAAAGAAATTCTCAAGGAAGTATTTGGAACCGACGAAGATCGTCCACGATCTGCCCCACCTAGTGCACATGAACAAAATAATACTGAAGTTGAGGGCGAGAAAAGATTGAGTTTTGATCAAAAATATCGTGAATATCTTGAGAAAATGAATGTGGACTTTCCAGAAAGAAAAACTTACTTGCCCGATGTGACTAAGATCAAGCAAGAAATTAAAGAAGAAGAAGATGACTTTGATGATAATGAGACGGTAGTTGCGTCAGAAAGAGATCTTGTTACACCAACACTAAAGAGTAAAACTAAGAAAAACAGGCCACGACGATTGAAAGGAAGTTCTGGTAAATATTAAAATAATTCTTTAAAGAAACTTTGTAGGAATTAACTTGAAAAATTTCTCATTATTTTAAAAAGGTTTCGATTATATCCGTAAGAAGAAAAAGCCAACACCAAATAATAGTGAGAATCCATTAAATGTTAATGCAATCATCAAAAAGCGACTTGCAGCTATGGAGAATCAGGAAACAAAAGATGAAAACGATATAAGTAAAGAAATTAAAGGTTGGGTATTAAATAAAGGTGTTGGAGAAAGTGTTCTACATAAAGCTTCGCGATTGAATTATGTGGTATGTACTATATACTTGCTAACCACAAATTGTAAAATTTTAATAACATGTAATTTACAGGATGTAGTTGCATATTGCTTGGATCGCATTAGCATGAGTCCTGATTCTAAAGACAACGCAGGATACACGCCTCTACATGAAGCATGCTCACGAGGTCATCTCGAAATTGCACGTTTATTGCTTCAGTATGGTGCAAATCATTCAGAAGCTGCCTTATCTGGAATACGTCCGTTGCATGAAGCCATTGAAAATGGACATATTGAAATGGTCCGATTGCTATTGTCGTTCGGTGCTGATCCATGCTTAGCAACATACAGTGGACAGTTGCCAATCACAATGGCTGATGATAAAGAAATGGAAGACTTTTTAAGTGCTTATTTAATCGATACTGATCACAAAGAGGGAAGGAAGACAAGCTGGGCTATGGATGGAGCTTTCAAGATAGAAGGTAAATTTTAAAATAAATTTCAATTGCTTAACAATAGTTTAATGATGATAATGTCTTATAGATCCCGACGAAATAGGCTATGATATATTCTCAAATGTTCCTATTGTGAAAACAGACTTGGGTTCGTCAGTTGCGTCCATATTATCAACATCAATGACTTCATTGGTGACTGCCACAACGCAATTGTCGGATAATGAGACTGTCATTAGTGAAACTGCCACAACCATACCAAGTAAGATTTTATCGACAACGCCCCAAATGAAAGCACCGATACAAGACTTAATAAAATATCAGCATAAAATGAAAAAGTGCGACACTAATTCTAATAACTTAGTTGTTTCCGATGCTAATAATACAGAAAGTAGTAAAGGCATCATAGCAGCATCAAAGAAGACTAAAAGTTGTAGTGTAATATTAAATAACATTGATTCGACAATGAAGAAAATCAAGAAGCTTCCTTCAATCTCTAAACTTGATTCCCACACAATAAAATCTAATGAGGCAATTCACAAGATTGAGGAGATCTCAAATCACAAAGAAGACTACGACGACATGATTATTGATGAAAATCTGGAGTCTGATTGTGAATTTTTCGAGCTAGAGGAATCTGAGGCGCCATTGCCTCCACTTTATTTACTGAGAGGTGAAGGAAGTGACAAGTGGATGTTGCTGGCTGATTTGTGCATTCTCCTGAAAGTTAAATCCAAAGAAGCTGTTCTGAAGCAGGTATGAAATATTTAAAATGTTGAAGCAATGAGCGATGATTTAATATTTGATTTTGAAATTTCCAGATCTGCCCATCAAGTCCACCATCAGCAAACAAGGAACTGATTCGTGAGCTGAAGATGTCTGAATTTTTGGAAAAGGCAATATGCTTACAATTATTTTGCGCTGGAGAGAAAATCAACATACGAGCATCGAAAGTGTCTCTCGTACGTTACACTGAAAATGTTAAGAACCTTCTAGGTGTTCACACGATAAAAATGAATTTGTGATTGTTTTATAGCGGCCCATGAAGCATTTATACAGAAAAAAAAAAATTAATTAATTATGATGAAGAAATGAGAGTTACTTAATTTAACAATTTTATACAGAATTTAATTGTAGAATGTGAAGTAAATTAACTGTGATAGTCAAATCAACTTGAAAGCTTTGTCACGAGAAAAAAAATGGTTGGGAAGATTTTAAAACAAAAAATTGTAGCAAAAAAATTAATGAAAAGGAAAGCCGTTAAAAAATTCATTGGCAGTCAATTTTTCTTATTTTTAAGTGCTAATTGAGAATATTCAAATATATTCAAGGATTTGAAGATGAAATTTATTTGAGAAATGCTCAGGGAACAAAAACACACACACACACACACATAATAATAATAATTAGAATGGAAACGTTTTGAATGTTCTCCTCCTTAGTTATAAACACAAAAATATATATATATCGTAAAATACCTTTAATTATTATTGTTTTATGTTCATTATTATTAACTGTATCACATTATTATTAAACCTTTATGACCAATTTTTTTTTTGTTAAGTGTAAGTATGAATTAGTTGATTTTTGAAATTTAAATCTCGTTTGTATCATAAAACTGTTCTTAGTTAAAATTTTTAAACCTTAATAATTATATTAGCTCATAAGACTCATTGAATTAACAAGATTTGTGAATAAATATTAAATGGTAAATCCAGACTTACGCCACCTTATATTCGAAAAAATTCGAAATGTCTTCGAAATTAATGTCGAAAACTTCGAAATTTGAGACGAAAATTTGAATTTTTATTGACCGTTAAGAAAAATGTAAACAATTCAAAAAATTTAAAATCAAAATCAATGATTTAAGCTTCTTTTAACAATGATTTAACTAAATTAACATAATCTTAATTATGTTTCATCACTATTAAATAGTTCACATTAGAAAAAAGAGCTTCAATTAACAATTAATTAAGAAATTTATAATTCGTGAAAAAATTCACTAACACATTTACAACTTTTGTTTACTTTTGATATTTTTGTTCTGAAAATTTTTAAAATCACCAATTCTTGCATTTACTTAAGCATTTTCAGTTCAAAAACATTAAAAATATGTCAAAGATTATTTATTTTAAAGAACTAAACAGTTAAAAGCTTCGATTTGTGTTGAATAAAGTTTTTTTCCAACGGTTAAAAAAGATTCAAAATATTTAAAAAAAATCGGTAAAACTTCTGTAACTGACAATTTTTAACGTGACGTTAGTCTGGGTAAATCCCTTTTGCACCACTAAAGTGAAATGGCAGTTACAAAGTAAAATTCAAATATTTAACGACTTTCTGAAATTCAAATTCAGACCACGTGAATAATTTGAAACAAAAATATCCGTTAAAAATCCAGCTGTTATTTCATTTCTGAAGTGTTCCTGATCGTCTTCGATATAAAAAAATAAGTATATGAGACTTTGAACGATAAAATGGCCTAAAGTTTTTGACACTCTGATGTTTATGAAAAGAAAGTGCAATGGAACAAAATGTAGACAGAATCTATTGTAGGTAGAAAATATTTCATTGCTATTTGAATGGAAAAATGTGATGAAGTTTAGTAAAGAATATTTTAGAAATTGATTAATCATAAGGAAGTGATTTGGAAAGTATGTTAATTTTGAAGAAAAAAAAAAATAAAAAAGGAATTTGAACAAAAAAAATTTGATGTTTTTGGATTTCACTCATTCATTCCTCCTTTATTCACGTTATTATTTATTCATTCATGAGTTAGTGGTATGTAAAAAGCCGACTTATAACACTAGAATTAAATTAAAAGATTTGATGCGATCCATATAAAAAAAAATCATAACTGTATAATTCAAAGATTTCCGATCCTCAATTTTGTTATCAGTTGGCTTTATAGTTTATTTAACATGTTAAACATATTTATATTCAATCAAATATAAAAAAAAATCCTTATTAATCCTCATCGGAACCGCTCTTGTTGGAATCTTTGTCGCCTGTATTATTCTCACCGGCATCACCATCAAATTTCATGCCTTCCTCATTTTCACTCTCGTCTTCGTCACCTGAAACCTCAGCATTTTCCATTTCAGCGCGTTCCATTCGTCGAGCCAAGTCAGCTTCATCGATTGCAGTAACGACTTTTGGCTGTAAAATGTCAATAGTGACGTCATTAGCATAATTTTTAATAAAGCATACAGCACAGTTGAATACTTACAGCCATTTGAATAGCGAAATGTCCATCAAGTTTTTCGATAGTTGCCTTAATTCTATCTATTGCGATCTCAAGAGCCTTAAGTCCGTCATTCTTTTCAGGAGTGGATGTAGTTATGACTGCAAATAAAGCATAATTAATATTTTTAATGGAAATTCATAAAGTTGTTGTAAAATTACCATAAATTGGCGGTGCAATAAGATTGATTTTGATTGGAATCTCCTCAGTCGATGCCTCAAGCCCTGATCGTAATGCCTGTTTTACTGCATCAATTCCTTCGTAGCCATAACATGCACATTCAATGTCAGCGCGAATTTTCATTGCTTGCGAAGTCAATTTTCTTTTAATATTCGTCAAGAGAACATTCTTTGTGTTTTCATCTAAATTGCATTCATCTAGAAGTGCTGGTTCCGTTACGGCTTGCTTGAAGATGTCATAAGATGCAGTTTTATTTTTATGCTTCTCCTCAAAATACCAGGCTGTTTTCTGGTATAATTCTTCTAGTTGATCATCGTTCTCATATTTCAACAATTCAGCGACGTGTCTCAAAATGGAACTAACAGCTTTTGCTTTACTAAATCGTTCTGTACACTTTTCTACATCCTCGGGTGACACTCGTCGTTTTGACAGATCAATATATCCTAAATACAATTATAATCCTTGTTAGTTCTGGATCATAATACGCGAATCAAGCACAAAACTTACCCTTATCTTTATCAACACGAATAACAACAACTGGTTCCGTTTTTCCCACACGAATGAGCTTATTAATCGATCGAATACGTCTTCTTGACAATTCAGACAGTAATATCATTCCTTCGATATTGTTGTATTCTAGCAGATGGACATAAGCTCCCATTTCAGCTATTGATCTTACATTGACCATAACTACATCTTCGACCTACAATTATTTACATTACTGTATTAATTGTTATCTTAGTAAATGGATGTATATGCTTACCTCGGGATATTTCTGCTTGTAAAAGCGACACGTTAGGACCATCTTTGATTACTTTTCCTTGATATTAACTTTCTCTTTGCGAATAATTCAGGTTAAATTATTTTATAACTGAAATAAACGGGAATCTCATTAAAATCCTTATCTTACAAGTATAGTTCAATTATTTATGTCAAATCATAGCTGATTTCATAATTTAAGTGATTATTTATGTTATAAATATTGTAAACTTTTTAATTGTACTCGAAAATGACACGCTGGTAATAAAAAACTGGTTTTTCACTTAAAATACGTTAAATATTGATTTAACAATATGATTTTATCAGCTATTGATTCCTTCTAAAATGAATAAACTATAGAAAATTACTTTTTATCGACGATTTCCTCGATAATTTCAAGGAAAATAAAAATTTTAATAAAAAACTTTGAATTTTTATCTCCGAATTTTCGAAAACTCAAAAACATTTCGAATATCGAAAATTAATCAATTTGAATTTACTTTTAACGGACTTTTATTAAAATTAAGTTTATTTCCATTTGGATTGAAAGACATTAATTAAGTTCAAACTACTTACTTTATTTCTAAGCTTTTAATGATGCTGTAATATTTGCTGTAATGTTTTAGTATTTCACTGGGATAAAGATCAGTTTTCCTAAAGATCAGTTTCTACTTGTTAATAAGCTTTATGTGATATAATTAATCAGAATGTATTGTCTTAAATAGTGCTATTAACAGGTAGTTTAAGTTATACTTTATGAAATTTTAAAAACATTTTACTTTTTTCGAAAAAATCAAACTGTCATTTAAATTTTGAATTTAAATGTAAATAGAAATTATTTGACGCAAAAAATACTCAAAATAACAAATTATTTCAGTTTTTCTCTAGTTATCACAAATAAAGTTAATTAAATACATAATCAAGACTACAAACTTGACAAGACAAACATCATTGTATTGATTCCTCTTTGATTTTGAAGAAAATCGGAAAATAACAGGTTTGTTGACAAAACATACATTTTTATTGGTTCTATTAATCATCCTTAATTAGTCTAACGAGCTATTTATGCTTGACAAATAGTAAGTCTTTCAATATTCCAATTAATTTTACATCATACTTGATTAGACGAGTTTGTTTTTGAGCACATCCAGTGGATTCTGGTCACCCAATTTTAGTGTGTTTTCAAGATCTTGGGATTCAGTTATCTCGTCAAGCTTTATACTTTCAAACTAATGCTTAGCATAGCTTGGTCTATCCTTAAGACTTTTAGTGGTACGGTGTTAAAAAAGTGTAAATGAAAATGCTAGTGGGGAATTGTCCTAAACCCATTTTTTTATTGCTCGAATTTTGGTTAAACTTGATGTGATTTGAAAGATCCAGTGAGTGTCAAAATAAGACAATAAAGCTAATGCAATCCAAAAGTGACAGTAAATTAATCAAGGTATCTAGTGAATTAAAGAATAAATCAGAAATAACAACAGTTATAAAAGGGAAACAAATTCCATCAACAAAAGTTCCAACAATAATGGCAGTTCCTCAATTCTTATTTATATTGTGTATTCGACGATTTTCGTAAGTCACTAATCAAAATTTTTCAAGCAGCACAGAAGTAAGATCGATGTGAAATTATTTGTAAATCCAGTGACATTAAACGGGACAAAAGCGAGATTAAAAGTGGATAAAAGTCGAGAGTCGTGCAATAAGATCAGACACAAAGTGAAAATTGTGGATTAAATGAAAGTTTTTAAGAGAAAAATCAAGATTTTGTGAAGCTGGGAGAAAAAATAGAGCAAGAAGTACTTGTTAAATGTATTTTAATACATTGATATTTAAATAAATATAGAAGCAAAATAATGTAAGTCTGCGAGAAAGACAAGCTAAGATCACAAAAAGCACTCAAACCTTGAGTATTAAACAGTTTAATTTCTTGTGTAATTTGGAAATGGTTAAATGGGATTTAATGAAAAGGCAAGCACACACAAAACTCAAAAAAAAAATAATAATAGAAAAACATAGATAGACGTGACAAATATGTTCGCGTAAACAACTAATCTAGCTGAGTTTAGAGGACAAGATACGCAAAAATAAAAAGCCTTTCAAAATTATTGATTTCTTATATAGTCGCTAAGAAGTCTAAAAATATTTTTTATTCAGTGAAATTAAGGATCTCTCAATATAAAATAAAAAGTCGCAGAAGAAGAAGGAGAACAAGAGACATTTGATAGCCAAAAAAGTTGCTTGTTTCGTCGTTCTCGTTTTTCTTAAATTATGCGAAAATAAAATAATCGCTGCAAACCTACTTTTTTATGTGTTTATACAGCTACATTATTATTATCAAGTATAATTAACCCATATTCCACGATAGAATTATCGAAAATGAATCCAATCATTCATGATGCAAGTGAATCTTACTTTATTTGTGATTTATTTTTGCCGTTAAGAAGGCTAAGCAACTCGGACTGCTTTTCATTATGGAACACTTTCCTTTCGTCCACAGTTCAAAGACTTTCCCATATTTTTCTTTCTTTCTCGTTCCGTACGAGACTTAGATTGCCATACCGCTAATTTACAAACAAACTGGATGTGCACAAAATAAATATAGTCCATCGCGTACCGTTAATCTCACCCATATACAGTCTTTTGTCGAAAGTTTCTCTCAGTTACTTTACGCTACAATTTTAAATTCTTATTTCCTTGCAGACAGAACGTACCTACATAAAAGAATCATTTAATGGGAACTTTAGATAATTCTACGACCCAAAAATTTATCTAATCATTAGTCCACAATAACAGATTGTGTGTAGAAGTTAAATAACAGTGTATATAGTAAAAAATTGTTTGTGTGAAAAGTGAAATAATAATAATAATATATCCAAAATGCCCATCGCATTAGTCCATTCGATTTCATTGCCAAATTTAAAAATATACACAACAATTAGTCTACTGCTGCTATCTGGCTGTTTCTATTATGCATTTGATGTCGTACGAACGGATCCACACTGGAAGCTTCATCAAAATTTAACAAATAACTTTGCAATCACTCGTCCGAATTTAAAACAGACGTCAAGTGATGCACTTGCTGATAATGAAATCATATCGTCACTTAAATCGTCTTTAGAACAAACAACAAGTGAGGAAGTTGATAAGGGAGAAATTGTTGACGTGATTCAGGACAAAATACAAGAAAGTGTATTTGATGAATCGAGTCTTAATCAGACACAGACATTAGTGGATCAATTAAAGGAAGTTGCACAGTTTATGACACATGAGCCGATATGTATTTGGGTAAGTCTTGTGCTTTATATTTATGTTTGTATACATAATTCATAATAATTTAGATCTTGTTAATAACGCGTGTATTATGCACGACTCTTTGCGATAAGGTAATGACATTTCCAACATTGTATCACGTTTTATAAACTGCTCACTTGTTGACTATTAGGTCTGGAGCTTAATCATGCGATTTATTTTTAATCCTAAAATTTATCTAATCCTTAATTTTAATCCAAGGATTTAATTACAAATTAATTTTAATTTGCTCAAATTTTAATCTCATTAAAAGACACGCAAGCGAAACCGTATAAATAAATACTATGTAGCGTGCCTGATAAATGCGAATAATCCAAATCGAATTGGCATTTTCTAAATTTGTACAAGCATCCTGTTTATTATGAATGCTATAGAACATTATCATCACAGAGAGTTTACGTCTATTTTTAGCACAATCAGTAGGTGTTTATTATATTAAGAAGAAGTATTCGAATATGTAGACACTGAAATGTCTTCAAGTATGGCAATAAGAAGATTTGTCTCATGTTATTTACACTTATTTTATCGTTTAAAAGACAGCAGAATAAAATGTTGCTGTAAAGGCTGAATATTTTGTCTAAAAAGCTATGAAGTGAAACAATACGCTTTCTTGTAAATGCCGTACATAAACAGAATTCAATGCCAATATCTTTTTTTTGTGCAGTTGTGTTTGTGACAATCATCTTTATTTATGAATGCACCATTCAAGCCAGGAACTCGTAAAAAATATATTAATAATTTTTAATTAAATATGTAAGGGCCTGTGAACTTAATAACTTGCACGTTAGTGAGCTTTTTATGCTGCATAAGTAATGCTGAATCACTCGAGTTAATTAACTTGTAAATGGAGGCAAGCCAAAGAGTTCGGGTTTAAAGTCTTCCAAAGAATTCAATGCTAATGTAGCCTTGGCACGCTTTTCTTCAGGAATGTGAGGTCCTGGCACCATTACAACTTGCATGCCGGCTGAAAGTGCTGCTTGAACGCCAGGGAATGAGTCTTCAAAAACAAGGCACTGAAAAAAAGTTGTCATACATTTTTATTAAACATTAAAAATAAAATAAAAGCTTACATTTGAAGGCTCAGGTTTCGGATCAAAGCGACTTGCAGCTAAAAAGAAGACGTCAGGTTCAGGCTTTCCATGCTTAACTTCTGATCCATTGACGATATGATTGAATAGTTTAAAAACTTCTTGATGCCTTAAAACTTTTACTTCAACACTTTCTTTACAACTTCCAGATGCTACACAAATTGGGATATTATTGGAATGTAAATGTCGAACTAATCCCTCAGCTCCAGGCAAGAAGTCAGCACTTGGTAGACGTTCTTGTGATAAGGCATGAAAATCTTTCACAAAAACTTCTAATGAAACATTTAAGTTCAATTCTTTGACACAAATTTCACATGCTGCATGTTCACTTGTGCCTACTAATTTCGTACGAACCTCAGGCGTTACCATTTTCCCGTACTTTGATGTGACGTCTTGAAACACTTTCTCATAAACGACCTCAGTGTCTGTAATAAATTTATAAAATTAAGTCTTTCTGCTTCAGATTGTGCAATCGTAATTTGTTACTTAACAAAAGGCCATCCATATCAAATAGTACGTGTGTTACTGGTTTAATGCTGTTATTGGCCATGATGAATGCTATTCTTGTGTTCGAATTTTGGTTTCTCGTTCTAATGTCAAGATTTTATTCTTTTCCGTATACGTATGCAATATTGCACTGCTATGTGATGAATAAATAAAATTTATAAATATGTAGCAAGCTATAAAAGTCGATAGTTTTATGATTAAGAAGCTTCGACTGATGCAATAAATTTTGCAAAGTTCAAATATTTCCTGAGGAAGTGAATAAAGCGTTTCTGGTCGACATTGACCAGTGAAAAATTTAAGTACCAAAGTGACTATTCTAGCTAGGTAAAATATTCATTTTATGACATAATACCACACTCAAAATGTCAAAGATCCAGTGAATCAGCTGTCTTGCGTATTCTTCATTTTAATAGCACAAACAGTTATTCAAAGCACTTTATGTACTCGAGAGTGTGCTTTAAATACATCAACAACAACAAATTGAACCTTCCAATGACTGATATTTTGCCGAATCATTCGTCAAACGCTACATTAATTAAATTTTAATCCTTACAAGCTTGTTGCTTATCAGTAAAATTCTCTGTTTTGGTCACACAGTGATTCTAACTCATTTCAATAACAAAAGGTCGTGACGATTAATAAATAATTCACTTTCGCAAGAGATAAGAACTTGATTTCAATTTGTGGCTGTATTGTCGCCAAAGTTTAGATTTTCTCGATGTTGTTCCTCAAAATGTTTACTAAGTAGGAGATTTTTGGCAAGATATTTAAAGATAAACAGAATGTGTCGTCAGTCTACTCACATAGAAATAAATCGACGAAAAGAAAATTGTCAGCAGGCAAGCTTGTTATGTACAACAACTGCAACAACAACAACATGATCGGCTAATCCAGCGTAAATCATGTCCAAAATTTAACGATTCTGTGTCAATTATGCTCAAATATTTAAATTTAAAATTACCGTTAAGTTTTTAACATAGAGTTTGAATTTTTATTGAATAATGAACGACACCTGAACATTATAATCGTGAAATGTGAGACATTTCATTATTTAAATAATAATTATTGATTACATTACGAATATAAACATTTATTTTAATTAAGTGTTTGTGCAGAACATTTAGAGCTTTAATAATGCTGATTTGTTTACATGTAAGCGAGCTAGTAAATTAATTTTTGAACGAGGGAAGTCCAAACAATTCAGGCTTAAATTCTTCTAATGACTTAATAGCTATAGTAGCCTTGGATCGATTTTCTTCGGATATTAAAGATCCTGGCACCATTACAACCTGCATGCCTGCTGAAATTGCTCCTTGAACTCCATTTGGCGCATCCTCAACGACCAGGCACTGTAATTTAATGCTTTAATGTGTGATAATAGGAATAATGAGGTTAATAACTTACATTCAATGGCTCAGCTTTTGGCTCGAAAAGACTAGCAGCTAATAGGAAAATTTCCGGTGATGGCTTTCCTTCCTTTACATCAGTTCCTTTAGTAATGTGATGAAACAATTTGAATACTTCTTGATGATTCTGTGTCTTAATTTTAACACTTTCCTCGCCACTTGATGTAGCCACGCAAATCGGAACGTTATTAGCATGTAAATGACGAACTAGCCGTTCAGCACCAGGCATAAAATCAACATTAGGTAGACGCTGTTGTGATAATTCGCGAAAATCTTTAACAAATTCATCGACCGTGCAATTTAATTTGAGATCATTAACACATATTTCACAAGAACGACGTTCCGTTGATCCTAAAAGCTTTATTCGAGCTTCTGGTGTTAGTGCCTTTCCAAACTTCAAACAAACTTCTTGAAATACTTTCTCATAGATGATCTCTGTGTCTGTAAGCACAACAATAAATTAGCTTCGAAGCGGAAAAACTATTTTTTAATAGTTGCATAACCAAAATGAGCTACTCACTTAACAAAAGGCCATCCATATCGAAAAGTACGTGAGTTACAGGCTTAATGTTGCTATTAGCCATGACAAAAACTGAGCTATTTAATAATGACAATGAAAAGTCTGTTAATTACCGAATTAATCTTCTCTCGACTAGCTGACTGACTGACTGAGCTATCTGTGTGCAATATTGCAACTGTTCTGTAATGTACAATATGAAAGAATGATGAAACTACTAAAAGAAAAATCGATGCAATTCAATGACGAAAGTTTGTCGTGTAATGTGAAAACTGTAAATGACGAAAGCAACACGTGATTCACACAGAGCAAAAAAGTTCTATATTTAGATTCAGTACACGTCACTTGAATTGAATTTTTTGAATACAAATATTCTCACTGACTTTGTTAGCGGCTAATTCGCAATGATAGTGAAACGCAATTGATGGAATTGTATCAGTCGGCGTTTGCACTAGATAAGAAACTAAATTGTGCTAGGGCAATATAGATTGTTTATTAAGCTCTGCCTCTATTGTTTGTTTCGTCTAATTTTCATTATAAATAATAATATTCACACCTTTCCAGTTTGTGAACACATCAGTATGGCTAGATTCTAAGATTTGATATGAATTATTTTTTGTGACATTGAATCGCGAAATTAAAATAAAAAATTTAAAGGTGAATGAAGAGCAATTAAATATCAAGAGCACAGTCATGAATATGCTTAATTGCGGTCTTTTATAACTGTTTTACAGTTAATAGAGCTTTTGGATGATTAAAAGGACAGAGCATGTTGTGTTATTGATTTAATTTACTTTTGTTTTATATAAAAAGCTGTAAGAATTTAATGAATTGAAAGTGGGACACGAAACAGGATCGATTTACTATCAATTATTAAGATTATTTTCTTATTGACTTTTTATCGAGTTACTCTTTACTGGATCTTAATGAAAATGTGAAAAATGTTATTGATAAGCCTGAATAGCTCGATTTTAATAGATTTTGAACTATAATTGCAATGAATTTAAAGTTCAAAAATTAAAATTCAACAGTTTAACGAATTTTTTAAATTGAATTTCAAAAATTTAACGAAAGTTTCAAGTTCAAAGTTATAAAAATTATTCAACCGTTATAAATTTTTGAACCTTATAAACTATTAACATCGAAAACTCCCTTTAATTCGTTTCTCTTCCACTTATTAATGCTAGAAATCACTTTGAAAACCACTCAGACAATGCTACGTCTTCTTCTCGTCATAATTTGCAAAACGAATTGTATCTAACTCAGAAATCTTAATTACAGTTTAATAGACATTGTTGATAATTCTTCCCAGAAAAGGTAATTAAATTTTACAACGCTCTTTAGACAATATTCCTTTACCTGAATCATTGAAAGCATTTAATAAGTCAGAAGTCATAAAATTTTAAAGAATTGTGAGTCATTCACAATTGTTTGAATATATTAATAATTAAGGTAATATTACGTGGAACCAGCACAGCCAATGGATTGTTGAAATGATAAGCGTGTTGTTAAAAATTGAACAGCTGCTCGCTTTGCAAGAAAACTTAATTCAAATTGATTTAATAAAATGTATTTAAATCGCACATTGTTGTGCCTTATTTACATCTTCTGAATGAAACTCGTGCAGCGCATGATTGTCATGAGAATTTGTCGTTTTATTTGCTATGATTTTTGGGACAATTGCTTAAAATTTTTATATTGTTTTGACTTTATTAAAAAGTAAATTTGTCTTGCTTCTTATTTAATTATGCTAACAACTTAAAGCCATGTGCTAATAAGTCCACGTCCGAGATTTTATTATGAATTATGATTGAAACTAGTCAAAAAATATGAAGACATGAATTAATAACGTTAATTTTGTTTAATTTCTAGACCCTCATAAACATGGCGTACTGCTGTCTTATTCTGCTTGGCAAATCAATTCAAAAGATTGTTTTTGGCGAGCTGAGAATATCGGAGCAACAGGTAAACAATGAAAGGCTTCAAATTGAATAATTATTAATTAAATTATTTTATTTTTTTCTTTTCATTAATTAGCATATGAAGGATAAATTTTGGAACTTTATATTCTACAAATTCATATTTGTTTTCGGCATTGTTAATGTCCAATACTTGCACGAGATTGTTTTATGGGTTGGATGGTTCACAGCGATTGGATTTTTGCATCTTATGGCACAACTGTGTAAAGATCGTTTTGAATATGTGAGTACAATGTCAACTACATGACTATTTCTATATTTGACAATTCCTGTATAAGCTGTATGAATCAGTTGTCTTAAAAAGACTCACTCGATACTTGTCACTTAATGATAGTGAAAAGTTCATTGAATCGAGAGAAGGTTAAGCACTCGTCAAAAAAAGATGAAGAGAAAGAGATGGTTGCGTAGCTGTTTTGCAGCATAAAAGAAATGAAAACATGTACACAGCACTGATCTAAAAAGGAAACTGGTTTGCAAGACTTTATTTTTAGAAAATCGAAACGTGAAGATTAAATGTCTCTTTTGTGGCCAGTTTTATATCATTAATTGACGTTCAGCTGAGCCTTGTTTACTCAATCTATTTATGAGGAAGTAATAAGAGTTTTTTTTGTCTATTTTCAGCTCTCCTTTTCACCAACAACTCCAGGATGGTCACATTTTCGTTTAATTGCACTGCTTTCATCTATCTTTACTATTTCTGGAATAATGATTATCGTTTCTATCGTCTTTGGTTTCTTCAATGGAATTAATATGTGCGCTTTTATGGGTGCGGAGGTGAGTTATGCTCTGTTTAAATTTTCTACATACTGGTTCTCTTGAAATGGTTTATTTTATAGAATTAATGACATGCCGTTCTTGTTTTCCAATGAAAATAGTCTGCATAGCTTGCATTAATATGGTTTTTAAACACCTTTAAAAACCGTAAAATTTTTAAAATTTTGAACCTGCTACTTTTAAATAATTACAACCGTTAAATTTTCAAATTTTTTTCAATTTCCAGTGCTTAATTTTGGCGATAAGAACATTGCACGTTTTAATACGTTATGGAATGTTCCTTTATGACATGAGACAAGGTGCCATCAATAATGACTCGATTTCATGGGACAAGCGCGGATCTATTGCATATTATACAGAATTTGGATTCGATTTAGCAGCACTCCTTGTTGATTTAGCTCATCATTTGCATATGTTGCTGTGGTCAAATATATTCTTGTCAATGGCTAGTTTAGTCATCATTATGCAGCTTCGTTATTTAGCAAATGAGATTCAACGGAAATTTAAAAAGCACAGAAATTATTTATGGGTTTTAAAGCATATGGAAAAGAATTATAAATTGGCGACAGCAGATGACTTGCAACAAAATTCTGATAACTGTGCAATCTGTTGGGAGAAGATGCTTACTGCCAGAAAATTGCCATGTTCACATCTCTTCCATGAGTCATGTCTACAAAGTTGGTTGGAACAAGATCAAAGTTGTCCAACATGTAGATTAGCATTAAGTGTACAAAGTAATCGAATGCCATCAAATCGTCAACCGAATGTAGATATTGATGAGATTGAGCAGTGGACTAATGGAACTGGTGGACAAGGAGTTAATGGAAATGCCAGAAATAATCATTTCTTTCACTTTAACGGTCAGCGCTATATTAGTTGGCTTCCAAACTTTAGCGTTGAGGTATCAAACATAAATTCCGTTTTAAGAAATGGACATTTAGCAGCTACGCTAGTTCAGCAGCAACAACAAACATCACAATTACGTAATATGGCACGTCACATACAAGAAATGTTCCCTCACTATACTCTCGATGTGTTAATAAGTGATTTACAAGTAACACACTCAATCGAGCATACAATCGATAATATATTGGAAGGTCGTTTGCCGGCACCAAGAATTGTGGAAGAAGAAAATCAATCATCCCCATCATCACCGTCCACTCCATTTGTTCCTACAAATGATTTTTCAAATTATTCAAATTTGTTAGACGAAAGTCCTTCGTCATCATCAACATCCAGCTCATCAAGTTCGACTGATCAGTATGATATTGAGCAGCATGGCAGTAATAGTATGTTTGGTAATCAATTTGAATTACTGAGAGACACGAGTCCAGAAAATCAAATTGGTGATCCATGGAGCAGTAATCCGTCATCCAGTGAAGGCAATCGGTTTTCGAAAAGCTCTCAGGAACGAGAGAAAATCCTTCTAAAAAGGAAGGAACAAATGCTCTTTGTGGCACGTAAAAGGTATGAACTTTTTACGGACGTTTTTAAAATTTTGAACTTTGTTATTTTTGAATATTAAATTTGCGTTATTTATATTCATAGATATTTGGAAAAGACAAAAAGCGGTCTCAATTTGCCATCATCATCAACAACAGTGTTAAATAGTCAGACAAGTTCGAGCGGAACAGACCTCAGGCATCGTACATCAACCAATAATCAGGAATAAATGTGAAGCAAAATCATGGCATGTAAAGGCTGATAGAAAACAACGTTCATGTGAATTGATTAACAAAGAATAATATTAAAAGAAAGAAAATATATAATTGTTAAGACTGTGCTTTTCTATCATCTCTCAAACACTATGTATGGATTATGTTTCGATAGATTTTTTTTGTGCTGCTCATGGCGAGAGATACATCACAAAAAAAGGAGAAAATGTTTTGTTGATATTTTCTTTAAAAAACGATTTAGTCATGTTTTATTATTTTTTTAACGTATTGATTTATTCCTTGTTGTACTTATTATTCGTCCATCGGAACCGAAATGAAAAAAAAAACAAAAAAAAAATGTTAAAAGGACCGTGTAAAGTGAATTAAAAATGAGTTTTAAATTTTTGTGATCTTACAATAAAAAAATACATTTAATAAAGTATAAAAGTTAATATATTATATTCTTTATACACTGTCTCTAGTCTTTGTTCTTTTAAAATTCCTTAATTATGCTTAATTACAGCAATTTGAATGACAAGATTTCGAATCTATTTTAACAGATTTCGAAAATTTGAAGTTGTATGTCACTGGCGAGCAGTGAGGGGTAAAATCTACGGCAACAATAAGGGGTCTTTCTTTTTTCTGAAGTCTTCATCTTGCTAAACGTGCGTTCTTAACATAATTAACAAAAATCAAAGAGAATACAGCCAAGTGATGATTATAATTACATTAGAAATGTGCCCAACTATCTAATGCATCGAAATAGCATCAAGATTATTAATTATTTACAGTAGATTGAGTGGAAACAAGTGTTAAAACTGCGTCCACAAAATTATTTATCAATATCAAAAAATTGTGGAACAAAAAAATAATTTCTCTAAATTAGCGCATTTAATATGAAACAAAGGCACTTAAGTTAATTGATTTGCCAAGTTGTCAGTTGCTCTAATCATCCCGCTGTATCTCGTTGATCATTGTTGAGACAAAATTCTACATAAACATAATCGAAAATGTTAGGTTAGATACTTATGGACATTTCTCATTTTAGATGATTGGAGCAAAAATTATCAAAAGTCAAGGCGCTGAGCCTGATGAATTCGAGAAATCTATCGGACAAGCCCTTTTGGAGCTTGAAATGAACTCCGATTTGAAGCAACAACTTCGTGAACTCTACATTACTCGCGCTAGAGAAGTCGAGTTCGGAACCAAGAAGGTAAATCTCATCAAAATCAATTGATCCACATCCATTTAACTAATTATGTACTTAACATTCTAGGCAATCGTCATTTACGTTCCAGTTCCAAAACAAAAGGCTTTTCAAAAGGTTCAAACTCGTTTGGTGAGAGAATTAGAGAAGAAGTTTTCAGGACGTCATGTAGTTTTCTGTGCTGAGCGTAAAATCTTACCTAAGCCACAAAGAGGACGTCCAGATCCAAACAAACAAAAGCGTCCAAGATCAAGAACCTTGACTGCTGTATATGATAACATTTTGGAAGACCTTGTTTTCCCAGCTGAGATTGTTGGCAAGCGCATCCGAGTGAAATTAGACGGATCACAGCTCATTAAAGTACATTTGGATAAGAACCAACAAACCACAATTGAACATAAAGTGAGTAGCTTCTTACTTTCATTTCATAAATCATGTCCTCGTGTTACTTGTTGATAATCCTTTTCAATGGTTCAATGAGCGTCAAGCAGGACATACAGTAATAATTTTCTGATTATCGGCATTTTCTAGAGCTTAATCTCTTTAAAATACTTCAAAAACACTTCAGATACATTAAATAACATTGCTCTAATTCTATTAGACATAATGATTCTAATGGGCAAATTCTATATCTTTACAGGTTGATACATTCACAGCAGTGTATAAGAAGTTGACCGGCCGTGATGTCACATTTGAATTCCCAGAACCTTATTTGTAAGAAGCTTCTTTAAACAGTTTGAGCTCCGAGAAACAAGACACCCTGAAAACTAATGTCTTGTTACACTTGATGTGAAATAAATAAAAGAATATTATTAAACATCTTAAATCAAGTCCAACGACTTTTTCATTTTTAAATTTTGCATCTTTCGTGGTCTTATTTTCAGGAAAATGTTCAAACATTCAAGCAGCTCTAGCTATAAGATGGTCTAGCCCAATAAATATATATAGCCTTTTAAACCTGTATGCATCATTTATCAACATTACAATTACAATCAAAAAACCTTAATTAAACTGAATTTCAAGACACAAAGGAGCAATTTGAGTTTGCCGCACCTTTTCAAATTTTTGAACCGATAATCAAATCTTAGACCATGTGCGCTTATAACGTCTATTTTGAAAATAGTAAATAAAAACTTTTGAAAAAGTGAAGACGGAAAAATGAAAGGATTTATTTTCTTGATATTCTACCTCGTTAATTATAGTTTTGCATTAAAATTTAATTACCCGCGAATACTATTGCCAGTTTTTGATAATGTGCGGATTAATTACACGCTAGAAGTTGTGGAAAAAGGCTGTTTTGATTTCCGGTAAAAAAATAACCAAATACAAACAAGCGCGATTTTACAATTTTATGAAATATTTACAAATCATTTAATTAAATCTCATTTCAGAATATCATCTGGTATTGAACTGATTCAGATACAGCCAATATATGACGATATTGATAATGATTGCAGTCATAAAGTTGTGATAACGGCAATTTCTAAGGAAAAGCAGAAGAAAACTGCAATTGTGCTAGCCGAAAGTCGTTTAACTAAGGAAGTCTTGAGATGTGATGTGATATTAGACGTAATTCACTCATTTAATGTTCATACAACCACACGAGAACTTTATCTCGAAGAAGCAGCTGAAACTTTTGAGTTAATTGCACAAGATAATCAAGGCAATGATTTCACAACATTAGAAGGAGTTGAATTTAGCTGGAACATTGGTACGCAGAGCAGGAACACAAAAGATTCAAATGGAAAAGCTCAATATCAAGTGCTACGTTTCTTGACGTTCTCAGAAAGCAAATATCATCAGGTAAGACATAATTTTTATTTGCATAAATTTTTAAGACATTTGATGATCTCATTTTAGGTACCAAAAGATGTAGAGAAGTTTGACATTATGGGATTAAAAGGTCACATGACATTAATTGAAGGAATTAATTCAGGAACAGCAAAAGTCATCATAAAGTTACCATATCCTGAATATAATCATGTTAATGAAATTACTGTAGACATCACAGTCTTAGCTAATCTTATAATTCATCCAAATGACATCCATATCCTCGTTGGAGATAATGTCGAATTTAAAGTACTTCAACTTAAGCAAGGAAAGTTACACGAAGTCGTATTAGGACCTCAATATTATCTGGAGATTGAAAAGAAAGAAACTGCTAAAATAGATAGAGGATTAGCAACTGGATTGAGTTTAGGAACAACTCTCGTTCTATTAAGGGACAAAAATGTGATTGAAAGTTCCATAAATCCTCCACTAATGCCTAAAGCTCGATTGAGGGTTAGTGAAGCCAGTAAAATGAGAATTGAATTACTTCCTTATCGAAATTGGATAACAACAGAAAATCAGGAACACGAAATTGCCATAGACTTATTAACAAAGAACAATGAGAAAATTACTTTAGGTGATCGTTATAAAATCGAATCATCATTCGATCAAAGTTATTTTAATGAATTTGGAAGGAACAGCAATGGAAGTATAATCTCTGGTAAGGCTGTCCAAAGAGGAAGCACATTAGTGTCTGGAAAATTCAATCAACTTTCAGTGAGTGCAGAAATGATAATTTATGGACATATTGACTTGAAGCCAAAGGAAGTTTATGTTCCATATGATGTAAATAAGCCAGTAGACAGTAAGATCCAATTTATAGCTAGTGGAGGTGATGGATCATTCTCATGGTTCAGTTTAAATCCTTCAGTTTTGACAATTGGACAGGATGGACTAGCAGACACACATTTAAGAAGATTAAAAGACTTTCAGAATGACAGAAATGATAATGTCATAGAAACATCAATTCGTGCTGCTATGATGAAGAATTTAAAGCTTTATAAAACAGCAAAAGTCTTTTTCTTGCCTCCAGTTAAACTTGAAATTGTTGCCTATAATTTTGAAACAGCTATAAATGACTACATTGATGTACATATTGGATTATTTGCATACTATAAAGATGCTTACGTTCCATTTACATCTTGTGAAAATCTCAACTATGACATCGACTTTGTCCATCAATTATTTAATATCGCTAATGCTGAAAGTGATCACACAGAAAAGTTAAGAAATGGATGCAGAATTATACGACTTAAAGCTATTCATACTGGATTAACAACATTAACAGTCTCATATAGGCATGGAAATGATGTTTTGACTGATAATGTTCAACTTATGGTCTATGAGAAGTTAATAACATATAATCCAGAAACAAATATTGTTGTACTTCCAATTGGTTCTAGTAGAAATGTCATTTATCAATATGGACCGAAGAAGGTTTATACAGTTGGAAGTGAACTAACAAAGGATATAAATTATGAAAAGAACTTTATAGCTGTCAATGAAATTAAATCAGATTTTCAGGATCAGAGATTTGCTTACAACATTCTGTGCCGTAAAGTTGGAGAGACGAAACTACATATGGAAATTTTCAATGCCTTAAGTTCTGATTCCTTTGTGAAATATGTCTCAATCATTGATACTTTCGTCTATTGCGTTAAACCTAGATTTATTAATCTCATCTCAGTTGACAAATTAAAGACATCATGTCCAATTGACAGTAAGACCTCATTGTTACATGTTAAATCAGCTACAGATGCATTGCACATAGAAATTGAAATTCTGGATGAACAGAAACGTAAACTTGACAACATTACATCATTAATTATTGACTGGAAGTTCCTACAAACGAATGGCATAGTTAATCATAATATCGTCTATAATCGTGAGACAGAAACTGATGAAATTGATGGAGTTTTAATTCCAAAACGTGACTTCCTTAGAACATCCATAACTGAAGTTAGTGTCAATCATAAAATTAAGGCAATCGTTCGTGAATATGATGGAAATGTGCTGAAAGAAAATCAAATTATTCCTGAAATTCCTCATTTTGGAACCAGAAAGACTGGAGAAAGTCAGCAACTTGTCACACCTTTAATAGAAAATGAACTGGATTTCCTTTCATTTGATGCTGCTTTACTGCCAATGTCTTCAGTTTCTGTCTTTTTATCACCTGGATTAGTAAGGAAGCTAAAATTAGGTCGAGGAAGTGGATTTTATGATATTAAAGTGAAGAATCCACATTTACTGGATGTTCAGCATGACAAAAGTACATCAGAACTAGTTCTTAAGCCCAAGCACATTGGTGAAACTGTCGTAGAAATAACAGACAAATGTTTAAAGATTGAACTGTCAAAATTGCATGTTTCTATCGTCGGAATTGGACGAATTGAATTGTCAAGTCCAGATCGTGTTGAGAAGACAAAAAGCATTGAAGGAATCGCAAGGATTTATGACACAAATGAGCATCTTATGGAAATTGACTTTAATAACTTGAATATTTTACAATTGAACGAAAAAGTCTTTAATGAACAAATTTTATCGATTAAGCGTGGACATCAAGATAATTTACAGTCTGGCGAGATTCGATACGTCATTACAGGCAATGAATTGGGAGAAACGAAGATTATTGTATCATCCGGATCAGTTTCTAGTCTTCCAGTCAATATTCAAGTTTTTCCACCATTACAATTGTTCCCTAGAAATGCCACAATCATTGTTGGATCATTGCTACAAATTAGATCACAAGGTATGTGTTACTTAATATTTTGATCCTTTAACTCATCAAACTGTCTTAACTTCATAATCTCGAACTAAAAATCATTGTAAATTTAAATTGAAACCGAAAAGGTTGGTGTTAAAATTAAGCTCCTGTGACATGTAAAATGCATCTAATTTCATAATAAACACACTATTATTTTTTTTTTACTTAATATACCTAAATCCTAGGATTTAAATTAATCTTACGATTAAGATAAATTATGCGAATAAAATAGATTTAAATAATTTTTTACAGTTGCAAATTCAAATTAATTTTGACAGTTAAAAATTCAAATTTATTTTCTCCTTTACTAATTCTTAATTAATATTCTCTTTTATAGGAGGTCCAAAACCAGACACAAATGTCGTTTACACAATTGGAAACAATGAGATATTGGGAATTGAAGGATCTGTCGTAGAAGGATTGAAAGTAGGAAAGACAAAAGTCGTTGGCAAGTCTGTAGGAATTAATCCAACAACTGGAAGTACGACTACATATTCTGAAGACTTTGTGTACATAAATGTTGTGCCATTGAACAAAATAAAGATAAAGGCACCACTACAAAGACTTAAATCAGGTTCTATTATGCCTGTAACACTCTGGGCAGACAATGACATATCGCCAATGATTTTAGGAACATTAAAGAATCTCCGAGTAAAATGGCAAATTGATCAAACAGACATAATTGAATTGAGGGATGTTTTTGAGGATATTGGAATTGTTTATGGTGAATCTGATGCCATTTCAATGCGCGTTCGTGGATTAAAGCAAGGAAAAGCAAGAATAACAGCCACTGTTTATCAATTTAATAACAAATTCCAAGCAAATATTGATGTGACAGTTTTTAAAACATTAGAATTGGAATCACCAAAGAAAATCGTCCATGATCCAATAATAATTCCAACAAGAATGCAAGTTCAGCTAAAGACAAACTTAGAAGACACAACATTCGAGATTAATGATCAAGCAGATAGAAGTGTCATTAATGTCTCTAAAGATGGAACAGTAAAGAGTTTTGACATGCTTGGAACTAGCTTAATAATAGCATCATCAGTTAGTGGCGATCAGAAGCTTGATATCCCGATAGAAGTGAAGAATATTAATTATATCATGGCTTCAGTAATTCCTAGCATTAGAATGAAAGGACTTGAGAGACATTTACCAAAGGATCTTAATTTTGGCATGACAGTCAGCTTGCATGACAATTTAGGAAATAAATTCTCACATAATTTTGAAGAACTGAAATGGCAGCTATCAAATCGTGACTTGGTGGAAGTAAATATTGGAGAAAATTTCACTTTAAATGTTAAGCTGCTTAGACAAGGAACAAATATGCTGGCTGTGTCGTTGAGAGATTCAACTGGAATTAAGCATCATGAAGATTATGTCAAATTGGCAGTTAAGGCTAATAATGGAATATTTAATGAGAAATTAATAGCAACACTTGGTGACATCATTTGCTTTGATTCTCCATTAAATAATGGCTATGACTGGACGACAAGTTCAGAAGCTTTAAGTTTGGAAGGATCCGTTGGACGAATTGTGTCAGTTCCTGGAAGTCAAAAGATTAGTGTTGTTCATGGATTAGGATTAAATTCATTTGTTAATTACGATATTCAGGTACGAAATCCTGATCATATCCAATTCAATCAGAAACTTGACATATTTAATGGTGAAACTTATCGTGGACAATTCGTCGTCAGTCATCATCAACAAAGTGATAAGCTTTCAAATATAATTGCCTCAAATGTCAGTAGCTGCAATGGACTGCACAGCAATTATTCAATAGATTTTGTCACTTGTAAATTAGTCAGTGACGACAGCACAATTTTAAAGAAGTTTGAAGTGTCAGCAATTTTTGATGGACGATATTATGCATGTGAAATTAAGCCATTACAGTCACTTGAAGAAATAACAAGCTATTCACGTGGAAAGGATATACGATTGTTGCTTGAAGCTAGATTAGTTTGGTCTGGAACATTTGATAGAATTGAATTAAGACTCACGCCAGCAATTCAAATTACACCAAAAGTCATCAACATCGATAAGCTTGATCAGAATGAAATTATCATTAGCGGAATCGAGAGCATTTTACAGAAAGTCGAGGTCATTTCATCTCATCCTGAAAATTTACTTATTATTCCAAGTTCACAGAAAACTGTTGGACGATTGCAGTTTAAGCCACGATTGAACAATCAAGGAGCTATCGAATCAGAGTTATTCATCAAAATTGTGTCGCCATTAACTCAGCAAACAATTAGAATTCCAATCTTACCGCCTAGTCAAGATGATGTTGAGAAATCTGATGATAGTTGGGTCTTCTTGTTCCTTTCAAATACTGGAAAGGTCATTGCTTCAACTGTCTTAGCATTAGCAATTATTGGATTGATCTTTATGTGTCTTAAGAGTCGTGATTTAGACACTAGTGGAGGTAAGAAATGTTAATTGTCATTTAACGGACTCTTTAAATTCAAATTAAATTCAATGATTTATTTATTAATCTTTATTTCAACCTTTAATCCTGCTTTATCAATCTTCAGAATTTTAATTGTAATTTTTATTCCAGTTTTCCAAAACAAGAACAACTTTCAAAATCCAAATCAGACGTTAATTAACCAGAATAGTAATAATAGTGGAGTATTTTCAGCTAGTCCATTGCAGTCACAACGTATGCAGTCATCACCTATCAAAATGAACCCTAATCAAGAGAATTTAATTTATGGAGATCCAACATTAGCATCGCCACACAGACGTTACAAGAAGACACTTTAATAATTTATTAGAACAAAATGCCAATCCTTGACATGAATGGCAAATTGAGTCCTTTTTTTTGTTTCAGATATTTTTTTTTATATTAAGTTACTTAAATTAAATCTTCTAATATTTTGTTCATGGATTTTTTTCATAAAATTAAGAGTCAAAAGAGATTAAAAACTTAAATAAAAAAGGTATGGATAAGAAAGATTGTGTTCTGAATAAAGCTGTAATGTTATACGACTAAATTTGATGACTACTTCACCTTTGGTTTACAGAAATGGAAATAAAATAATTAATAATCAACAAATGTCATACTTTTAAGCTAAACAATAGAGCTCACGTTTTCAGTGATAAGGAAAATGAGAGGAAAAATAAAGAGCGGCAGTAAGAAAAATTAAGAGAAAAGTCGGGTGGAAAATGAGTGTCAGGGGTTGTGAGAAAATTCGTAAAGTGATGTAACATAATCACAAATTTAACGTAATTCCCGTAATTCAAAGTTCAAAATTTGAATTTTAACGTATTTTAAAAATTTGAAGTGTAACATAGTTTTTGAAAACTTTAAATTTTGAACTTCAACGTATTTTGTAAAGTCATGAAAAGTCAATCCCAGGCCATGTCTAATTTTCGAAGCTCTTTTTCCATTTCACCGTTCTAGTTACGAAGCTGGGTTCATGTTGGGTGTAGTTTTCAGGTCTTTGGCACAGAATATGCCTCCTTTGCTAGGTATACATCTTGCGCACACGAATTGTGACTAGGTGCATTGCAGGGTACATCAGCTCTTATTACGTACTCGTGTCTTTGCAATGTGTAGAGCTTGCAAGTGGTTCGGATCCCACTATAAACTGTAGGTCTAAAGGGTGTGGTACAATAGATTCTGTTTTAATTTGGATCGCAGTGCCTCCAGCTGAAAGGCTGAGCCCTTCACACATTATTATTATTAAAGTCATGAAAAGATCAAGACATACTCATAGCCAATGCATGTTGCTACATAACTTGTAAATGAAAATTCTGAGAGAAGAGAAAAAGAGAGCGAATAAAGAGTGTTTTTTGACCTCCAATCGTTCTTGAATGAAAAAGTTTAGTCTTATAAAAGTAATCAGCTGGGAAAGAAGTTGATAAGTAGCGATTGTCATTTCAAAAAAATATTTTAATTCAATTTTTATAAGTCAAATAATGACGGTGACAGTCAAGACAGTTCCAACGACTCCATTTGAAGGCCAAAAACCAGGAACTAGCGGTTTACGCAAAAAAGTAAAGGTTTTTGCCGAAAAGAATTATACTGAGAACTTCATCCAGTGTATTTTGGAAGCTGCTGGAGAGTCTGTTATTAATGGATCTTTATTAGTTGTTGGTGGGGATGGACGATTTTTCCTTAAAGAAGCTATTGACATAATCATTAAAATGAGTGCTGCAAACGGCGTGTCAAGATTAATGATTGGTCAAAATGGAATCTTATCAACTCCCGCTGTATCTTCTCTTATTCGTTCTAATAAGGCTAACGGTGGAATCATCTGCACAGCTTCTCATAATCCAGGCAAGTTCCAATGCTTAGTTTCATGTTAAATCCAATTAGCAGTTATAACATCCAGATACTAATTAACAATATCCATTAAGGTGGTCCCGATAATGACTTTGGAATCAAGTTCAATTGCGAGAACGGTGGTCCAGCACCTGATGCTTTCACCAATAAAATGTTTGACATCTCAAAGACTATTAAGGAATACAAAATAGCTGAAGGCATTAATGTTGACTTGAATGTCATCGGAACTAACAAATTCGATGTCAATGGAAAGCCATTTGTTGTTGACGTCATTGATGCTGTAGCTAATTACGTTGAGTTGATGAAAGAAATCTTTGATTTTGGTAAATTGAAGGAATTCGTTAGTGGATCTAAGCCACTTAAGATGAGAATTGATGGATTAAACGGAGTAACTGGACCCTATGTCCGTGAAATCTTTGTCAATCAGCTCGGTGCTAGTGATAGTAATGTCGTCCACACAATTCCATTGCCTGATTTTGGAAATCTTCATCCAGATCCAAACTTGACTGTAAGCATGCTATTAAGTTTTAAATGACTGTAATGAAACTGTTTACAAAAACGTTATTTTTCTAGTACGCAAAAGACCTTGTTGATCAACTTTCTGCTGGAGATTATGACATTGGAGCCGCTTTTGATGGCGACGGAGATAGAAACATGATTTTAGGTCATAAAGCATTCTTTGTTACACCTAATGATTCTCTTGCCATTATTGCTGATTTTGTTGACTGTATTCCTTACTTTAAGAAGAATGGCGTTACTGGATTCGCTAGGTAAATGCTGTGCCTTATTTTATTAATACTTTTGTGACTCACGATTTATTATTACTTTTGTAGGAGTATGCCAACTGCTGCTGCTTTAGATCGGTAAGCTAAAACTCAAGTTAATGTCTATAAAGTCTATAGAAAGTAATTTAAATTATTCATAGTGTTGCCAAAGCTAAGAATCTAGAAGTTTTTGAAACTCCAACTGGCTGGAAATACTTTGGTAACTTGATGGACGCAAATCGTTTATGTTTGTGCGGTGAAGAGTCATTCGGTACTGGATCTAATCATATTCGTGAAAAGGATGGAATTTGGGCAGCACTTGCTTGGTTGTCAATCATGGAACATACGAAGAAGTCAATTGAGGAAATTTCTAAAGATTTCTGGAAGAAATATGGACGTAATTACTTCACACGATACGATTATGAAGAGTGTGAGCTCGCGCCATGCAATCAAATGATGACTGATCTTGAAAATCTCATTACTAAGCCTGAATTTGTTGGAAAGGAATTTTCAAATGGCGGAAAAATCTACAAAGTCAAACTTGGTGATAATTTTAGCTATAAAGATCCAATTGATGGATCTGTGGCCACAAATCAAGGTCTTCGAATTATTTTTGAGGACGGTTCAAGAATTGTCATGAGATTGTCTGGCACTGGAAGTTCTGGTGCTACAGTCAGAATGTATATTGAAGCTTATGAAGCAACTAATGTCTTAGAAGCTGCATCAGAGATGCTTAAGCCACTTATTAATATTGCATTGGAAATTTCACAAATGAAAAAGTATACAGGTCGTGACGCCCCAACTGTTATCACATAAGCTCCTTAATAAAATCATGCTGATACTAGTTCTCACGTTTTTTTAAAATAATTATTATTTAAAGAAATTTTAATTGGCGATATTATTGTGCATTTTTTTGTTATTCAATGAATAAGATTCAAAGTTGATCATTTTCAAATTTATCAAATTTAAAAAAAAAATAAACAAAATTATTGAGAAAGTGTAAATGAATTATTGTGTCTGGACGATGCTTTTTTTTATTTTTCTTTTTCAGAGAGAACAACTCAATAAAAAGCATGTAAAAAGAGAGAAGCAAGCGCAGATAAGGAGTCATGTGAAGAAAATATGCTTGTGAGTAAAATCAACCGGTATTTTAGAGCATGAAATTAACGTTTAATATTTTGAATCTTAACGCATTTTAAAAAACTGAAATTTTAATTGAAAAATCTTCGTCAAGTTTTAACGGGTTTTAAGAATTCAAAAAAAAAATTCGTTAAAATTTTCAACGGGTTTTTAACATTCAAATAAACTGAAATGAAATGAACTACAATATTACTGAACGAAATTTGAAATATTGTTAAAGGATGAATTTTAAAATTAATCAAGTGACAAAAAAATATTAAGTTTTTCTGCAATTCCTGAAGCTACTCCAGAAATGACAATAATTTTTTATTGAAACTTTTTATTCTTTTGTTTGACAAGTAAAAGGTCTTAATTATTCCCATCTGATTTAAGGATTTTAATTCTTTCTTTTGTCCGATACGACCCCTAATTGAATTTCGGTAGGTTGATGTTCATTGGATGTAATTATGTTGGTTGAAAAAACATTTTTGGGTGCAGTCTTTTAGGAGAATCTTAAGTTTACTTAAGGAAAAAAGGCATTTTAAATTCTTCAAAATTGACTTTCAAATATCTTCGAGTCTTTACAAATGATGTTACATATTACTTTTAGGGAGGATTAAGACTAACTTAATTGATATCAAAAGTTCAACCAGAAGAAACAATTTGACGACACACGTTTTTAGTGACTTTTTTTAAATTTTTTTTTTCAAAGATTTTTCAATTTTTTATATGTTTTAAATTGGGTATCGATTAATATCTAGCATTATCTTTTGTAACATTTTTTCGTGTATTTCAGATGTAGGAAATGTAATTAATTATTCTTATTCCTTCTCTTGGATTTTTCATTTTCATTTTTCGATCGAGTTTACCAGCAAAAAATTTTTTAAACTTGTATTTTTAATGTACTATACTTAAAAAGAAGGAGTTACATCCATCTTATGCTGCTTCCTTAGCTAAACGTTCAGCCTTCTCGACGACTTCTTCGATTGGTCCAACCATGTAGAATGCAATTTCTGGCAAGTGATCGAGTTCACCCTTAAGAATTTGGTTGAATCCCTTAATTGTTTCTTCGAGTGGGACAAGTTTTCCAGCATGACCAGTGAAAACTTCAGCGACCTGGAATGGCTGTGACAAGAAACGTTGAATCTTACGTGCACGGGCAACAGTCAATTTATCTTCTTCTGACAATTCATCCATACCCAAGATGGCAATGATATCTTGAAGTGATTTGTAATCTTGCAAAATCTTTTGTACACCACGAGCAATGTTATAATGCTCTTGTCCAATAATATTTGGATCCATAATACGTGATGTTGAATCCAATGGATCGACAGCTGGATAGATACCCAATTCAGCAATAGCACGTGACAATACAGTTGTTGCGTCCAAATGAGCGAATGTTGTGGCTGGAGCTGGATCAGTCAAATCATCAGCTGGTACATAAATAGCTTGTACTGATGTAATTGAACCCTTCTTTGTTGTTGTAATACGTTCCTGCATACTACCCATGTCAGTAGCCAATGTTGGTTGATAACCGACAGCAGATGGAATACGACCCAACAAGGCAGATACTTCGGAACCGGCTTGTGTGAAACGGAAAATGTTGTCAATGAAAAGCAATACATCCTGACCTTCAATATCACGGAAATATTCGGCGACAGTTAAACCAGTCAAAGCAACACGAGCACGAGCGCCTGGTGGTTCATTCATTTGTCCATATACAAGTGCTACCTATACGCAGGAACAAAAAATATTTAGTTTATATAACATAAAAATAAGTATGCATACAATATACCTTGGATGTCTTGTCGGTTAAGGAGATGACGCCACCCTCAATCATTTCATTGTACAAATCGTTACCTTCACGTGTACGTTCTCCCACACCGGCAAAGACTGAATAACCACCATGAGCCTTAGCGACGTTGTTAATAAGTTCCATAATCAATACAGTTTTGCCTACACCAGCACCACCGAAAAGACCAATTTTACCACCCTTTGCGTATGGAGCCAACAAATCAACGACCTTAATACCAGTTACCAAGATTTCTTGTTGTACACTCATCTCAACGAATTCTGGAGCTTCAGCGTGAATTGGAGCTGTCTTGTCTGTTGGAATTGGACCACGTTCATCAATTGGCTCACCAATGACGTTAATAATACGTCCTAATGTTTCAGCACCGACTGGAATTCTGATTGGGAAGCCTGTATCAGCCACACGTTGTCCACGAACCAAACCTTCTGTACCGTCCATAGCAATTGTACGGACTGTATTTTCTCCCAAATGTTGAGCTACTTCCAAGACAAGACGTGTTTGACGTCCTTGAACTTCAAGAGCATTCAAAATTGGTGGCAAGTTGTCATCGAATTGCACATCTACGACGGCACCGATAACGGCAACAACCTATATTGCAGACATAAAGGATTTGAGGGAAAAAAATCAATAACTGAATTTTTTTTTCGCAGACTAATTTATATTATTTTACATACCTTGCCTTGAGCGCCAGCAGCAGCTTGGGCAGCTTTAGCTGCATAGCTTCTAGCTGTAAAGATAAGACAATAATTAGTAAAATATTCAGAATTTAATGATTTGCTTTAATGTTATGCAACAAATTTTTTCTCATACATTTTGAGAACTTAGTCTAGAAGTCATTTTTTGGAGGATACTATTGATATTCGAGACCTTTTCACTTCCAAACATAATGAATTAGTTTAATTAAGCTTCAGATTAGCCCGAACTGATATAAATGATAAGTTTTAACCTTAATTTTTCAATTTTCTTATGTGACGTAATTATCTGTTATTTAATATGTTTGCATACTTCTATTACAAATTTATCCATCGGAAGTGCCAGAAAATGATTCTATTGACTAGAATCTATGGATATTAATTGCTTTTTTGAGAAACCGAAAAAAAATTTTAAATGGCGTGAAGTGAAAATTTTCTTTTTCAAATTTTGACTTAATTTCCAATGAAAATCATCCCGAATCAGATCTAAAATGATTGTCCTTATAAGTATTACAGGAATAATTAGAATTGACATTAAATTAAATGGAATTAATGATAGAAAAGTCGTTTTTTTCAAGTGGGTAAAAATGAGGAGGGGAACATTATGCAACATAAAATATGTAAAAAATCAATTTTTTCCATTAAATCTTAATTAATTATTGCTTTTATGCTACATTTATGTTCTATTAATGTTAATCAAAGTACTTACTCGCTAGATTTTGTATTAATTTCGAAGCTCGTACCGCGGTAAACATGATTTTGGGACTGAGGTTCTACCACGAAATGAAAAAAAATCTATGAAAATCCTATGTCGATGCTCTTTTCGACTACTTTTTTGAATAGAGTCGTCTGGAACGTGCGAAAATGAATTTTTTGAACCTTACAAATTGATTTTTACCTTTTATATTGCTTTATTCTTCTGATCTTGATTAATTCTCTTTTTGAATTTTTAATTTTGTTATTTTATTTTCTGAAATTGCGTTTACTGTGTTAAATTCGCTGTCAAAATTGATCAAAATGTTTATAAAATTCAAAATAATTTTAACTGTCATCAAAAATTTAAATTCAGTTCCAAAGTAAGTTTAAATGATTAATTGGAATATTGGTACGAAAACGCATTTTCTTGAGTATACTAATGCTCATTTCTAGATATCTATCTTTAGTTTTCTCACTTCTTAAGGAATCTAGGTCTAATAGCTGCAATTTAACACGAAATATCAATCAATTTATTGTTCTTATAACAAATGACAGACCGAAAAATTGCAAATATTAACCCACACTTTTATGTGCTAACAAAAATCACAATAAAAATCTCCAAAAAATTGATTTAATTAAATATCTCATTAAAAACAGCTTTTATACAGTCATACAAGCATCAGAAACAAAACCAACATAAATATCATCATATGAAGCGTAAAAAAACACAAGATTTAAGTGATTAAAAGCTGAAGAAAGCAAATTTTGTACTGTAATGTAAAACATAAACAAAAACATAGTCCAAACATGATACTGCCCGAGAATTTATGCAGACTTTGTGCTGGAAACTTGGAAACATTTGTATTTTTCCACAATCTGAAAGACTTTATAGCTATCCAAAAGCTTGAATTGGTGAGTTGTGCAAAAAAGAAAAATTTATGTTGCAATTTATGCTTATGCAAATTAATTATTTTTATGCAGCCAGTCAGCGATGATGCAAGAATCTGTTCATACTGTTATGTTAAAATCAATAAGATCCAAAAGTTTTGGGAACAATCAATTAAGATTCAGGACTTTTTCGCTTACATAAATGACACGAATGTTGACGAGAGTAAGCTTAATGAAATTAAGAGTCAGTTTGACTTATGTCAGCAAAGTGATCAATGCACAGACACTGACGATCTTTGTAAAAGTGAATTTGTGATAGCAGAAAAAGCAGCATGTAAGTAATTATGATTGAATGGCTTCAAATTATGTTATTATGGATTATTTGAACTATTATAGCCATTAATGATTGTGCAGACATGAATAACGAGCATACCTTTACGGAACTAGATGATTTTGCAGAGATTCCAACAATGGCAATATCAGAACAAAACTTTGTCATTGAAAACATCACAGAAAGCTCAGAAGTTGCAGACGAGATTGAAATTTCCTACAATACAATTGAGGATAGAGAGATTAAGGAATGCGAAGATAAAATTGAAGACTTAGAGTAAGATATTGTCACCTCAAAAAGTATTTTAATTAATTATTCAATTATAGTTTTTCATGTCACATTTGTAATGAAGAATTTAAGAGCTTTTTTGGCTTGTATAGTCACGTACGAAAGATCCACGATTCCATTCCACAAGTTCAATGTTCCTGCGGTGAAATTTTACACTCAAGAATGCAGATTAATTCCCACAAAAAGCTTCATTCATTAGATAATAGCTACAAGTTAGTAAATTAATTATTAAATCGTAATTATCTCAATGTTCAACATGATTTATGTTCATTACAGATGTCATATGTGTGACAAAGTATATTCACATCATCAATCTTTACAAAATCACGTAAAGAAAACTCATGCGGAACAAGAATGTAAAGCTTTTATATGCAGTCGTTGTAGTCGAGAATTTGATAGTGAAAGAAAATTGAAACTGCATGAACAAGTGCATTTACCAGATGACAGGAAGCTCATTCATCCGTGTCCATTTATAGAATGTGATAAGAAATTTTCAAAATCTGTTAATGTGCAAGCACATATAAAGTCTGTCCATATAAAAGAACGTCCATTTTTGTGTAGTCATTGTGGTAAGAACTTTAGTACGAAAGGAGCTTTGAAAGAGCATCAAATTATACATAATGACGAGTATCCACATGAATGTAAATTTTGTAAAAAGAAATTCAAGAATTTGCCGAGATTAAAGACACACGAAGACATACACAGCACAACTCAATATATCTGTAATGTTTGTGGAATATCACTCAATACGAAAAGAACGCTCAAGATGCATATGGTTATTCATTCGGATCAAAAGCGATTTAAATGTGAATTCTGTCAAACGAGCTTTAAAAGATCAAAAGCTCTCAAAAATCATTTGATTCTGCACTCGGGTCTTCGTCCTTATAGCTGTCCATTTTGTGATAAAACTTTTTCGAATGGATCAAACTGCCGGAGTCACAAAAAGAAAGCTCATCCATCTGAGCTAGCAGCATTTGAAGCTTCTGGAAAAAAGACATCGTTGCCTAATATTCCTAGACTGGATCAACTGATTAATAAGTAAGTATTTAGTCAAATTAGTTAAAATCAGAACTTTACCGGTTTTCATGATATTAAAACTTTAATTTAAATATTTACAGAACGCAGGATCAATTAGTGATAGTGGATGCGCCCAACATCATACTTCAAGATGTATCGACGAGCAACATAAAATTAGAAACTTCATCAGCAACGATGATAATCCAAACATCTGAAAGCTTTTGAAATTCATTAAAATCACGTATCGTTGTTGTCAAGTTTAAAGCTGGAATTCTCGAGACTGACAATGAAATATGAAAATTTAAATGAAAAAGACGATAAATGTGATTTACAGTAACAATAAAAGCACGATTTTTTCTTTTTTACAAAGTTAATAGCTTCGTAATATTTTATTCGGAAAGCTTTCTACTGCATTTAACACATATTGGGTCAATTGATTCATATTCCAATCATCAACACTTCGTCGTTTTCGCAAATAGTCGTCGGGATTAATCTACAATAAAAAATTATTATTATTATTATTATTATTATTGTTTATTATTCTCTTCTTAACTTTTGCAAAGGAAAAGCCATCCTCAACAGTGTTAACTGTTACTGCTGAGATCGGCATAAAAACCTTTGATCTTAATACTATATTAACAAAAGAGGTAAAATTATGAGATTCAGCGTTCTAGGAACATTAAAGATCTCAATTTGTATCAAATTATCGTAATTGACATTAAACGTTAATTAACAGATTTTCCATTTTTGAAAATAAAAATTCAAAGTGGTGAGAAAGATGAGTAAAAAGTTATGCAAGAATAGGCCAAGCTAATGATTACGATTGGAATAATTTAAAAATAACAGCTTTTGTGAAAAAATCCAAGAACCAGAAACATTGAGATTGTAATATACAACAAGGACACTTCAGCAGTACTTAATAGAGCAGATAGCAGTAGGATATCAGGTAAAGTTGTTCCAATAAAGATAAAAATAAGCAGAGGATGTTTTATCTTGTAATTTTTGTTTTAGGTAAACCTTCGAGCTTCTTCAGGTAATTGGCTGATAGGAAAACTGACATCATATCTTCGTTGCGGATATAGCATCTTAAGGCCCACTTAAAGGCATGCATTTGTGGTAAGTTCTTTAAATCTTGAGGAATTTCATTAAAAATTGAGGCACCAACTGACATTATTCTTTTCTTTCCATAGTTCGATTTAGATAACGGCTTCCTCAATCCACTAGTTCTTCTAGTTCTGCTACTGGCTGCGATCTTGTCAAAAACAATGTTTGAGTGGATTTTTCTTGACAAATTATTATAGACAAAGGTAGCAGAATTCACATAATTAATTGCTCGAACAGGAAGACAATTCTGGACTAAGTGAGTATACATATTTATGCGGTTTTCAAGGAAGTCAATGTTAAAAACACTTCTGAGCGCTCTATTCTGGATTTTTTGAATCGGAATTAATACTTTTTCGCATGCGGTGCCATAGATTACTGACATATAGTTGAGATGAGACTCGAATAAGGATTTGTAGATAAGCTTCTTGGTAGATTGCGGTAACTTGTTTTTGAGCTTCCACAGAATCCCTGAGATTGATGCAAGTTTCGATTCAAGTGCTAGACAGTGCCTATCCCATTTAAGATGTTGATCAATAAATAATCCCAAGTATTTCACACAATCAACCCTCTTTATGTCATTATTTCCAATCGCGATCGTTTCATTATCTTGAATTTTCATGAAGGGAGAGTGGAAGATTATGTAGTTAGTTTTCTCAAAGTTTAAATGCAGATGTTGTTGATTGAAATAATCTAAAATTAAGGTCATATCGTGAATTATTTTGTCATCAATCCTTTCATTCTTTCCGTGACTATTAACAAGAACTGCATCGTCGGCATATAGATAAAGTTTTCCAGTAATGTTGAGCGAAGTAATGTGATTGAAAAAAATAATGAACAGAAGACTTCCCAAAATTCCTCCTTGAACTACTCCATACTCGATACATTTCACGTCACTTGCGGCAGAATTTATTTTGACAATTTGCTTTCTTGATCTTAAGTAGTTTTCTATGAGTTTGAGTGGACTTCCGCGAATACCAGAGAGATCAAGCGTGTGAATAAGACAGTCAATATCTACGAGATCAAATGCTTTCCTAATATCCATACACACCGCACTGACCTTCAATTTATTGTCTAGATTACTTCTGATTTGTTCTACGAGTTCCAAAGCTGCAGTTTCCGTTCCACTCTTAGCTCTAAATCCAAATTGGTATGGTGACATAATCTTTGCTTTATTGAATACAAAGTCATAAATTCTTGAGTATAACGACTTCTCAACAATTTTGTTAAAAATTGTAAGCATTGCAACAGGACGATAATCGTTCATTGATGACTTATTACCAGACTTATTAATTGGAATCACTAGTGCTGTTTTGAAACAGCTAGGATATATTGATGTCATGTAAATCCGGCGAATCATGTGACATAGAAATGGAGTAATTTCCTTTGAAAGATGCTTGATTATTGATGGACAAATTCCATCTATGCCTGGAGATGAGTTTTTAAGACCTTTAATAATCATACTAATTTCCTCTTCATCTATATCATCCAAATACATTGATTGCATAACAGGGTTGAAATTAACTTTTGTGGAGCTTACACGTGATTGACTTACAGTAGAAGTTATGCAAGAAATGAAATTTTCATTGAATAGATTCGCAATTTTTAGGTCGTCAGTAACAATATTATTCTCCTTATCAAAAACTGCCTTAATTTTGTTGTCCTTTGATCTTCCGAGAATTTTATTTATATTTCTCCATAGCTTTTTGGAGTCGGGTTCATTACAAAGCGTTGAAAATGATTTCTTTTCATCAGATTTGAGTGATTTGCGTAATTGCTGAGAAGTGACTTTTAACGTCAGTTTTAGATTTTGCAAAGCTACTTGGTTTAAAAACTTCTTCCTGCTTTTTCTAATCCTTTTAACAAGTCTTTCCTTTTGGTCTAATAATTTCATGCTATTAAAGCTAAGCCAGTCACATATCTTGTTTTCCTGCCGAGTATGAAATTTGAATTGGGTTGAGGAATTGTTGATTGCTTGCAGCGTTATTGATGTTAGGGTTTCCGCTAGTGTATTAGGGTCTTGCATTGCAAAAAACGATTCTTTTGCTAACTTTTGGAATTGCTCTTTGAGTTTTGAATAATTTGTTCTGTTTACAACTTTAAGTACCTTTTTGTTTTTGATAATGACATTCTTAATTACCGACACTACCATATTATGGTCGCTGAACTTAGAATCAATACATATTGTGTGGTTCTGGACTAACTTCTCCATATCACTATTACATGTCAGATGATCAATTATTTTATTACTTGCATTTCTTGTTGGTTGATTATTAGAAATGACCATGTCATAAGAATTGAGAATGTTCATATAAGATTTCGATTCTGTTGAGTCATCATTTGCATTGATATTGAAATCACCGATTAGAATTGTCATATCATCAGAACTTAATTCGTTTTCAATGTCATTCATGAATTCATTAAAATTGCTTCTTTCCGGTGGTCGATACACATTGATGAATTTGAAAGTTTTATTGCCATTTTTCATGAAAAAGACAATTTTCTCGAAAGATGTCGAGGTCGACTGGACATTAAAAGTAGTGATATTTTTGTTGACATAAACTAAAAGTCCTCCGCCCGCATTTTTAGATTCTCTACAGCATATGTGTTGATTATAACCATTAATTTGATAAAGTTTTGAAGGAAACTGTGACATAAGTTTAGTTTCACTCAAAGAAATGATGTCAATTTTGTAAGGAATCTTAGCAATCATTAGTTTTAATTTATTGAATTTTTGGGTTTTGTTAATACCTCTTACATTGAGCTGCAGGACTGTCATTCCTTGAATAAAATTTGATCCTTGCTTGAAAGATGTTAAAGATGGGTGAAACATATTTTTATGCTGATTACTAACTGGAGAGAGTGAAGGACATATTGATTGCTATAATTTGGCTGTTTGAGCTTGGTAATTTTGCTGAATTGCTTTCACATAAGATTCTAGATTATTTAGGTCGCTTTCAGAAGCAATTGTTATAATTCCTTTGTCAGCCTTTTCCACGTTGACTTTTCCTGACTTAAAAAATACCTTAAGACCAACAGCCTTTGTTAATTTTCTCGCACTCATCATAAAATATTTGTTTGTTGGTGTTAAAGTTGCATTAAAGTAGATGTTGCGACCATCATTAATATTTCTTTTTGCACGCAAGATTCTCAGTTTGTCTTCAAATTCTTTGAAATGTACCAAAAGAATGGTTCTCGCTTTCACAGTTTTATTGTTATCATCCTTTCCTATTTCTTATTTTGACACTCTTTCAATTTCATCAGCTTTAATAGTGATATTGAAAGAACTGATTATTTGCACTGCAAGTGATTTTAAGTCGGTAGCATTGTCAACAACTGATTTATCAATGCCGTCGATATCCATACATTTGCTAATATTTTCCTGAAGCATGTTATTGATCATGACTTTATTCATCTGAGCTGCCTTGGCGATATCCATAACCTTTTCATCGACTACTTTAACATTAGATTCGAGTGACTCTACTTTTTCCTCCATCTTATTCATTTTTTCTGATACTGCTTGAATTTTTTGTGACAAATCAGCATTCACGGACGAAATTTCATTACTGTGCTTCTGACTTGTGTTTGCAATTAAATCATATAAACCTTTCATTTGAATTGACAGTTGAAGATTACTTATTTCACTGTCATGTTTTTCCTCATCTAACTCAACAATTAATTTTCCATCATTTAACATCTCATTTTTCCTTTTCTTTGCTAGACGTTCAGAATCAACCATAGGGACATCATTTAAATGTTGATCATCAGATTTCTTGTTTGGTGACCTGATTGTTTTCTGCGTTGTGCCAAAGATGCTTGAAACATGCGACATTACGCTGAATGCAAGATTCAAACGTTCCAGAAATGATTTCAGACAATCAAGTTTCGTCGAACAGTGTAGTGGAAGTAAAAACGCTGAATGCAAGATTCAAACGTTCGAAAAATGATTTCAGACAATCAAGTTCCGTCAAGCAAAGTAGTGGCAGGAAAAACGCTGAATGCAAGATTCAAACGTTTCGGAAATGATACAGACAATCAAGTTATATCAATCAATTATGCGGCAGTAAATACGCTGAATGCAAGATTCAAACGATATGGAATTGATTTCAGACAGTCAAGTCAGTTAATACAATTAAATTTAGATGATTAAATATTTGGATATTTAAACACATGCAAGGCCGTTTTGTGTTGAGATTCCGTCAGATTTCAACACTCTCGGTAAAAAGTCGTTAAATTTTAAATGATTATGGTGAATTTTGTTGACTTTCTGAATTTCACCACTCGAATGATTTGTTCACCACAACATGTGACGTTATGTTTACTTTTACTGGATTCTTTGTTATTTCTTTTGATACAATTTGACTAATTAATGCATATAGTTTCATCTATTTGATTGAAGAACAATGTGGGCTGGAGTCTCGCGTTTAAACTCTGTTAATTCTGTTTGTTACTTTAGACCTTATTTGACATGTAAAAATGAAATTAATATTTCATCTACTGATTCTTCCTTTGTTTTTGCTTCTTGATTTATATTTAATTATCAGCAATCACACATATATTAACTTGACACTTTTCTATAATTTAACACACTAACAGACTGTTTCATCTACTATATAATACTTAATTAGATCACAAAACTTGATAAAAAAGATATAAAATATTTTGGTTGAGTACCTTTTTTGTCTTCGTTCGAATTTTTTTAAATCAAAATTATTAGGAGAAATCTTTAAGGATTGGAAAAAAGGAACTTACCTGATGATTGTAGATAGACCGGACCGTACAGAAGGCAAGATACCACACGAAATAAACCATGAAAAATAGTGGAAAATGCCAGAGTGTACTTGCCACATTGTAATAACTCCATCGTGTCTCACGCGCTTCTGATTTACGTGGAATCACTGATGTGTCGTTAATGGTTTTATTAGATATTTCACTTAATTTTAATAAATCTCTATTGTGCTCATTACTTAATGTCGCAACATTTTTAGAACTAGCACAATTAGTCATTAAAATTATTAACGCAATATTCACAATATAATTTGCTATGCAAGGCATGGCTTTTCACCTTTTTTTTTCTTTCGGCACTAAATTATCTTTTTGAGCACAAACCAAAAGAATTTGTCTCCGAGTGAGAGCAACGCATAGACAATGAATGAAAATAAAGACAAATATCCCCTTCCAAAAAAATTTTTTTAAGGTCTAGTTTTTCATTAATTAATATTTATTTTTGGTGAGACAAAAAAGAACTGGCTCACATTCTCGGTATGAAAAAAGTTTGTTTGATTTATCATTTAGTGCTGTTTCGTTCGATAGAACATGAAAGTTGTTTGGATGGATATGATGAATATAGGGCAGTAATACGTTCCCTTTTTAATCATACGAATTAAACACATCTCTCGCATTTGCGTGACATCCAAACATGTATTCGTTTTGATGGCGTTTGTGGACACTACTTTGTATGTAAGTTCTTCTTGCTGTGATTGTAAAATTCTGATTTAAGCTTTTAATCTAAGAATACAAAGGGGTTTACTTCAAAGATAGAAAGGGATTAGAGACATGCTGCTTGACTTGAAATGTTGAATCATTGATAATGTAAGAAAAAGAAGGAATGAACAAATTTGGTGGCATTATAATGAGCTAGTAATTCAAGAAAAAAACCGTTAAAATTTAAAATCTACAAAACCGATAACCGCAAAAATATTCATTACCGATTCAATTCAAATTCTACAAAACAGTCAAATTATAAAACTTTATAACCGATTCATTTTAAGTTTTACAAAACCGTTGAATTTCAAATCTAAAAAGACCGTTAAATTTAAGAGTGAAGGTTTTCAAAACAAAAAAAATATGATGTTCAACATGCGATTAGTCTAGGAATGTTTATTGATGATATCCGAAAAATAAATTTCTATAAAAATTCTCCGTACAGCCGCAAACAGCAAAACACCTTAATACGAAAATCCAGATAAAGCAAATTAAGTAAATTTTCACGCTCATTTCTCTACATAAAGACCATCATCAGCATCAGCAGCAGAACAGAATCACAGTCTGAAAATCATTGCATGCCCTGCTGTTCTTTTCAATTTAAATTATGTTTATGTGACAATTAATAATAAATTAAAAGGACGCATCACACACTATTATGCGCATAATTATATAGCATTATTCATGAAAGTCATACATGCCTTTTTCCATAACACCGAAAAACAAAAAGAAGTGAGATTTTTAGTTCCGATGGCATTAATAATATAGTCGATTTGTACAAGGATATGTGTGTGCATGTGAATTTAATTGCAATAAATGCGAACCGAATAATGTTGTTCAGATTTTACCTGTTGTGAAACATGAGCCTCTTCAATTAATCTATTGTATATTCCCCCCCCCCCTCCCCAAATTGTAATAGGATGCATGGATAAATAAGGCAAATTATCATGATAAGGCCAAAAATTGCGAATTTTATTACAAACCAATTTGCTGATTACTAAAAACTTCAAATATCACCGCAAAACTATATGATAAATAATCGCAAATATTTAGATATCTGGTTGCCATAAAGGGCATGCATAATATGCATAAAGCTACGGCAGATGAGGGAGTTTAAAAACAACCGAGGGAATAATTAAAATCGATTCATAAAAAGCTCGTCAAAAAAAAAAAACATAAAATTTATTGATCATTGAATTGGATTTTGTGGAATATAAAATATCAGCAAATATAATGGTTTTCACCATAAAATGCCTGATGCTAGTTCATACGTCAAAAATGATTATTATAGTTTGTGTGTGTGTATTTAAGTTTTAATTTTAAATTAATGTATACACTCAATCAAAGTCCATTGAGAGATGGAAAATAGATAAAATTTTGTTTGCACATTTTTTGCTGTTTAGAAATTTAAATAACCTGCTGTATTGCATCCAATATGATTATGAATTATTAATTAAGTTTTGATTCAAAGAGAACTATTAAAAAGCCGTTAAATTTTGTATTTTTCATGGCAATTCCGTGGGAAAATGAATTTTTTTAATTCATATTTTAAAGACATTGAGGCATCTCTTTTTAGCGCATTTTTTTATCAGGTTCAGGATATGCTTCAATTATGTTTGCTACTCAAATTTTAACGATTTTTTGACATTTGAATTTTTCAATCCGTGTCAGATTATGATTTTCAAAAGTTTTTCCAAATGTAAAGTTGTTACTATCCATCAGACTACCGTCATTTCATATAACATCCGTTAAATTTGTATTCAAAAAAATTCAATATTTTTATGACCGTTATAATATTCAAAAATTTTTGACGGTTAAACCAGATTTTAACATGCACTTACTCATTTTGCTCAAATTTTATTGTTAATAAAGTTGAGAATAGATAAAAAAAATATAAAATTAATAATTTATGAAGAACTTTGGGATTTGTGCAGAATTGGTATTAATTAAAATAATTTATTGTTTACATAATGTAACTGTTTTTTGAAATTTGAATTTTCGGCTCTAATATCGAAGAAATCGAAATTAATTTCGAAGAAGTCCGAAACGAAATGGCGGTAGTCTGCTATCCATTTAAATGCTAATGGATAGTAACAACTTAACATTTGGGAAAACTTTTGAAAATCATAATCTGACACGGATTGAAAAATTCAAATCTCAAAAAACCGTTGAAAATTTTGAATTTAAAAAACTGTCGAATTTTTGGACTACCTTAGAACAAATTAAAACACTACTCTATATTTATCTCGAGCTTATTCCTGAGGCATCCAATCTGTTTGTTTTCCAAAAGCTGAAAAAATTTGAAATTTTCATGAGCTTTATAGCGTGACAACAATGTTCATGGATACAAAACTAAGCTCAAACTGTTTATTTATTAAAAATAAAGTTTTCTTCTTTGCAAAAAAAAAAGACTGAAAAATAAAATTGAACTATAGTTCCCATAATGCCTTAAATTGCTTCTATTTTCTCATTTCTTGTGAGAAAAGGAGAATAGCAAGAATAAAGCCCAAGGGAAGAACGAGCCATGCTCACAAAATAAAATTATATTTTCAATTTATTTTCGCTTTATTTTCAATTTTTCATCATTTTATTTCTCGTTCAATAATTTCATAAATATTTATTCTTAAAATCGTCTATTTGTGTCATTGCGAACTCCGTCATCTTATTTATTTTCTCGACTACTTCCTTATGTGACATGTCGTGTAAGCTTCTCGCTACGTAATGATTTGGTAAATCGACCTAATTGAGTGAAATAAATGAGAGAGAAGAAAAAAAGAAGGAACTAATTATGGGTACGATAATTGTATTTTGACATTTAATTAATTAACCTTATGACGTCCAATTGATCGAATAATTAATGCGGCTACATACAAACAGAACCTGAAATTACGTAAAACAAATAAAATAAAAAATAATAACGAGAATTTGTCGTTATTGACTTTGTCCATTTCTGCCTTTATGTTTACGTACCAGAAAGTAAAATAGAGCGGGATGTACCATAATTTTCTGCCCAAGTAATAGTAACTGTACTTCTTAACACGTGGCTCAACTGGAAGTGGTGCAGGCGTGGTCGTTTCCTCCACGTGATGATGATGATGATGATGATCGTGGTCGTCGTAATAAATGTCTGGATATGAATCCCATGGATGGTCGTGATGATGATGATGATCATCATGCTCGTGATCATCCGGTGGTCCACTTGAAGGCATATCCATCAATCCAGAAGGAGGCATCATCATGTCACCACCTGTTGGTTTGTTATAAATATATCCTTGGCTCATTTGCATGCCACCATTTGCAGCTTGCTGATTCATCATAGAGGAAGTAGGAGGGATAGGAATGGAAGAGTCAGGAGGTGGTGGTCTCAAACTGAGATCGTTACCAGATGCTGGTGGTAAATAGCTGTTGACTAATGATAAATCATTCATCATATCCGGCGGCAAATAGTTCGAGTTTATATTGGGCGGAAAATTGTTTAAATCCTTAGGTGGAAGATACATCATATTATTATTTTGTGAAGAGTCATCACCTTGCGTCAGTGCTTGTTGATCAATATTATTATTCGATTCAGTCTCTTGACCAGAAGCAGGTGGAAGGTAGCTGCTATATAAATTCAAAAACTTCATCATTTCTGGCGGTAAATATGCTGCATTTAAGTTGGGTGGAAATTTGTGTAAATCTTCTTGCGTTACATCAGCGTCTGCCGACGATTCTTGTGTTTGAACTGTGCTACTTGAATTCTCAATGTCTTGACCTGAAGCAGGTGGAAGGTAGCTACTGAACAAATTCATGATTCTCATCATCTCAGGTGGAAGATAAGCTGAATCCAAGTTTGGAGGGAATTTCTGCAAATCATTTGGTGCTACTGATGTATCTTCTGACATAATTGGATCACTAATCACTGCATCCTTTGGCTCCCCAGAAGCTGATGGATTATAGCTGTTCCGAAGATTCATAAGAGTCATTACTTCTGGCGGTAAATAATCTGAATCTAAATTCGGTGGGAATTTGTTTAAATCTTCTGGTGCTACAGATGCATCTTTTTGGTTGTTCTTAATTGGAAATCCACTTAAGTCTACAGGATCGAGTGATGGATCTATTGAAGCTTGTCTGACTATTGGTCTGATGTTATTTTCCCGGTCTGATGCTTGCGCAAGATAGTTATTGTATAAATTGACAAAATTCTTTGTTGCCTTTGGCGGATATACAGAATTTATATTTGGGGGAAATTTATTAAGATCTATTGCCGGCACTGATGTCTTTGCTCTATCAACAGTGTTAATGTTATTCCTTTTACTGCCTGAAGGTGATGGTAAACGATTATTTATTATTTCCAGATTTCTCACATCATTTGAAGGTAGTAAGTAGGCACTATCAGCATTAGGAGGAAATTTATGTAAATCTTCATTCGAAATTGTTGTAATCTCTAAGGAGCCTCGTGATTTATAATTTATAGCATTATTACGCTTCATTTCGACGGCGGGTTGATAAATTGAATTTGCGTTTGGAGGGAATCTATGTAAATCAGCAGTAGCAACGGTATCAGCATCAATATTGTTATGAGAATCATCTATAACTACATGATTACTGTCGATAGAATCTTTGATAGCTTGCAATTCTGGTGGCATGTATGAGGTATTAACTTTTTTATTGAAAGATAATAAATCAATTATGGGATTCATGGATGTAGTTTCATCTTCTGTAGGCATGGTAGGAAGGAAATGGGAAGGTTGTGTGGCACGAGGCGCTTTTATTGCCTTTACTTGTGATTCAGTTGTTGTGTCAGCCACAATAATGGGATAAAGGAACTTACTTGGAGGCAAATAATGCTGAGATGGTGGCAAATCTGACATCATTGATGCTGCTGGTGGGTTAAATGTAGGCATTATCATGGGAGGTTGAGGAAGTGGCTGCCTTGGAGGTGCTGAATTCATCATTATCGGTTGCGGCTGAGGTTGTGGGACGGGATCTATACGAAATTTATTTCAATGAAGGGAAAAATTAAATTAAAAAGTTTTAATTGAAATTTTTTTTCCTCCTTTTTTTATTAATTATATTTGCTACATACTTGGCTGTGGATATTTGTAGCCGGGAAACTTTTCCGGATGCTTTAATTTGTAGCCTGTAACGCCATAAGCTTCTCCGGGAGCAAATCGCCTTTGTGCCACTTGCCCTGTTCAAATAGGCATGAAATGCGAAAAAGCAAATAAATATAAATCATTTGAAGTGAAAAATTATTATTTCATTTCTCCGATCCCTATTATTTTTCTTCGATTCCTCTTTCCTCTTTTCATTTCTAACAAATGTGTGTAGCATCATCAACTCTAGACATTAATGCCGAGTGAATCAATATAAATTTCCAATTTGTAATAAATTCAGTTATTTCTTTTTTTTTATTTTACTTATTATTTCTTTCTTTTCCTAATGTCTCGTACATACATTTTCATGTTCAAACACCCTGTGTTTGTACACACGTATGTTGATTTTTTTTTTACCAAGTTATAAAATTTCCCTTTCACTTGCTACGGTTTCTGATAAGCAGAACAAAAGTGAAAATTGGCTAATCGATTTAGTATTCTATGGCAACTAGTGCGCATTTTCAAGACCTGGGGATTGTTTGCTATTAGAAATTTGAGCTGGTAGTCTTGATTTAAGCTGTTTTTGGCTAGAAATCATAATGATTCAGATTCGGAAAAAATGTTCAAAAATTCAAAAATAACATATTAATTAAACTTCATCTTTTAAATGACAGATTAAAGATCTTAACTTAAGGCATACTCAGTGAAAATATCTCGTTTCAATTTGATGTCTAACTCCAGAAATATTCAATTTATTTTCAACAAAAATTTGTTTACAATTTGTATATGAAAAAAAAAAACTTTGATTTTCTCTACTTTAAGTTGTTATTTCCATATCTTGCTAGCTGTTGTTAGCTAAGTTAAGCTTAGATTTGCATATTGAAACTACCAAATCAAAAGAAAACTGCTGATTAAGTCTTAAAAATGCAATTGAAATCTGAGCATTTTTACAAAACTTCAACTATTCATAAGTTAAAAAGTCTTCCAAAGACCTCTCTGAAACCTATATAAATCAATTATTTAAGATTAAATCTATCTCCTATACTAATATGGTCATGCCGTTCAATGCTGTTTTCGAGATATTTGCGTTCAAAGTTTACATAAATTTTCATACAAAATTGGAAAAATGCACAATATTTTTTGATAAAATTTTACATACTTCCGCTTAAAAAAATCATGTTTAATTTTTATTTTATGGACTGAGTTTTTGAGCAATTAATCAAAACATTATGTAGAAGATGCTAAAAGAATCAAATCAGAAGAAATCAACAAAAACTTTCAATTTTCTAATGTGTCAGAAAAATATTGTGCACAAGGAAACACTTTTTTCAAATCTGAATCATTTTCGAAATGCGAAATTTCGATGTTCTAAAGTTTTAAGAAAGTTCTAGAACAATCTGAGAGGGGCAATCAACGACATAAAAATTCGTAACTTTTGAATGAATTCCAACCGTTTAATAATCTAAATTCAGAATGAATTCGCATTGCTGTCAGTAAATCAGCAGACAAGAAGAAAATGGCATGTTAATGTATGTAGGTAGACGATAAAAAGCAGCTACAATAAAAGAAAGAGGATATATGTGAAATATCGAGACGAAAAAGAAATTGTTTGTTCATAAATCATCGAAATTGATTAGGAGCGGCTTGAGAAAATAAAGAAAGGAAAATGTATTTGGGTATGAGAGCTGATCTCTAACGTTTTAAAACCCTCCTGTGTGCGTGTGCTCATGTGAAATATAATGATTTTCAAAACACTTAGTATACACATTTTAAAAAACATTTATCCTCCCTTTCTATTAGATAGAATTAAAGCATTCTGAACCGTAATTTTTTATGAGAAACCACAAGCCACCCAAATGCTTCTCTTGCCTTCTTTATTTTATTCACCCCCCACAAAATACATTAATATCTTTTCCTTTTACTTTCTCAACATTTTCTGTACTAAGCGGTGAAAAATCATGATTAGAAGAGCTTTAATTTCCACATTCACTGACACATAAAAAAGTTATTATTCATATGTGCCAGAAAAGAAAAAAAGAAAATTTACACACATTGTATAGTGAGAATGTCAGATTGATAATAAATCTGCGTATCAAATAACAGTCAGATTGATAAATGAAAAATAAAATTCGATTTTCATAAATCGACGTGGCTTTTTGATACACACCCTTGTATGTTCTGTATGGATGAAGGAAGGTAAGGGGGGGGGGGGGGGTAAGGGGGGGTACATCAGTTTGCTAAGATTACACGGGGCAACCCACTTTGTAGTACGAATAAAATCAAACTATAACTAGGATAGGTGCCTGCCCGTAGCTACACCCCTGATAAATCGTACACCGGAAAATGTAACATTAATAAATTTGTGAAAAAAATAGCAAAAAGGAGTTATTTATGTGCTGATGAACATAAAAATTTCAGTATAAAATTTTTGTTGTAATTGCTTTTATGGAGCACATCGATGATATCTCCTCAAATTAAATACATATGATGATCAAAAAATATAAAATTATTATTTTTAAAGGTTTTTCATCGCTCGAATTTGAATAAATGCTAAGCATAGCTTGAAAGCTTTGAGGGTTTTTGCATTTAAATTTCTGAAATTCAATTTATGCTCGAAATTATTTGTTTACAAACATTCTATAATCTAAAATTCAGATTTTTTGCACACGAAAGGTCGTGCATAGATACTTATTAAGATGTACTAGGATTCAACCGAATGAGAATATGAAAAATTAATGAATCTAAATTGCTAAGCATTGTAGAACTTAATATGACGATAAAAAAAGTTCTGTTTGCCTTTTTATTTTCTCAAACGATTTGGGTAAACTTAAGAACTTACTCTATTAAACTTGGATCGTCAAAATTTTTTATATTTCTCATTTTTTTTATTAAGAAGTCATTTCATGAAAGTCATTGATTTTAATAGCAGAAAGAATAAATTTTACATATTTTTAATGGCTCAATGCTCACAAAAGTATATCATAAAGTATGAATTCTGTGAATAATTCAGTTGATTGTATGTGTTTAAGCTTTTGTTTGCTCAATGAATTGTTAACTTTATTAAATAATTCAGTTCTTAGGTTACGTAGTTGGAAACTTTATAGTTGGACATTCAAGAAACAAAAGGATCTGCTTAGTATGAATAAACAGTTCATTAGTTTTGAGATTATAAAAGTTTTTTGTTTAAATTTATATTTTTGGAACTTTTTTGATTCTGTTTTTCTTTGGAATTTACATTGGATTATCCTTACATATTAAGAACCTTACAAAAATTTGTGTTTAAAATTTCTTAAAATCCAGATCCAGTAAAGAAAATTAAGATCCAGTTTAACAAAACTTCCAAAATAACTCTAAATTACAGACATTAATTTTCATCATAGTTTCATGCTCCCTAATTTGCCATATGTTCTTCAATCCATAACTTCGCAGAAACTAATCTTTAGCCCAAAACAAGTTTGCTTATAAAATTCACAAATCAATTTAATTTTGCTAATTTCCATTCAACATGAACGGAAATGTTCGATCCATATCCCATTCTTTATTCTCCCCCCAATGAGCCTTTAATAATAACTATCAAGAATTTCCGAAGAAAGATAAATAAATTTTTCTTTTTCGCAACAAATTCGAATAAAATTTTTTTGGTTCCGTTAAGAAAGAAATGTTCCTTTTTTTCTCTGGTTCTTAATGCTTAAGTGTGTATTTTTAGTATATCACGCACTAATGGTATTTTTCACATACCTGTTGATGGTGTCATATCATATCTCCGCCTTGTTTGATCAATATTTTGTGTGTAAGATGGATAAACAATGAGTCGACCTTCCTTTTCATTTTTGTAGCTGTTGCTTTGCATTGCTTTTGCTTTTGTTAGGAAGTCTGACAATGGAAAGTAATAATTGCTTTTGATGGCACGTCCCTCTGATTTTTCCTCTACTTCCTTTACATTTTCATTGCCTGATGTGGCTGTTTTTTGTTGCTGTTGCTCTTTTTCTTGTTGTTGTTGTTGTTTTAGAGCCACATTGTTCTGCCTAGAAATTCAATTTTTTTTTCATTCATTAATTTTTCATAACAATCGGAAAAATACATTAGATGTATATCAATCTGTATGTTCGCACGGCATAGACAAAAGTACAGTATGATGACATTTTGAGTGTGGGTATGAAAATTGATTTTTTTTCGTTGCTTTATGAAAACAGGAATGTCCTCTTTCCTCATTTTTCTTTTTTTTTTTGTCGATGGAGAAATGTCGACAGATTAAAATCAATTTTCAGTGCATGTAGTGAATTGAATATAAGATTGACATGCAAATGGAATAAAATGACTTTATCGCTAAGGTTAATTCGTTGAAATACGTGTGGACGTATTAAATTAAATTTCCCACAGTCAAGCGATTGAAATGTATGGGATGAAGGAGGAAAAGTAGAGTTCAGAAATTTATTTAACAAAGAAAAGGCGAAAAAAGTTAAAATTGAAGGATTTATCCAGTGATGTTGATAGAGATGCCTAGAGTGGATGAAATCAAAGATATGACTTTAGACTTATATCTTTATCTTGACTTAGATGCATATGAATCTTACGGTAAATTGATAAATCATCGTTTGGATCATTTCCACAATCTAGGCGAAATTTGGAATAAGCCTAGTTATGTTGGTTGATTTAGACAAGGTTTAGATCAGTGTTTCTCAAACTGCTTTATTAGCGCACATATCTGGTCTAAATTTGGTAGTATGCCATTCTTTATGTGACACATTCAAAGGTTTTGGTACAAACCTAGTACAGTGCTTCACAAACTTTGCTCGAAGATACATTAGGATGTCACCAAAATCGTTGAGTGTGCTGTGAAATGAATGCCATAAAACCAAATTAACATTATATATGTATGCCTAATGAAACAGTTTGAGAAACACTGGGTAGACTTTGTCTAACCCAGTTCTAACACAGGCTTTCCTTATATTTTGGTAATTGAGAAGATTCGATTTTGAAATAGATTAAGAAACACTGCGCTAATGTATCGTGGAGCGTAGTTTGAGTAGCACTGATTTAAGCCCAATTTTTTTTTTAAATTTTAATGCACTTGTCGTTCACCAAAGATCCAATTCAAGGTTACGCAAAACTGCCTTGATAAGGACTGAACTTTGTCGAGATGAAGTCCTTTGACAGATAGCAACACTGTATATTTCAGATAGCTACACAGATAGAGCTTTCAATCAGAGATTCGAAATAGATTTTTGTGTGAATAGGTCATTTTTGAAATGGTAATTCGAACGATGCTGTACAAAGCACGTTTTAACTGAACATAAACCAAATCGAAATAAAAAAAAAACACACACAAAAAGTTTTTCTTTTTCCATCAAAACCGACGGAGTGACCGGAGGTATGAAGAATAGAGCCATAGAGAGGGATTTTAAAACAAAGTAAAACAAAAATAAACTTTTGAATAAAAATGGAAAATTCATTTACTTATCAATTAACGTTGACTCAATGTGTGACATGTAGTTGGATGAAGGGTCATTGGCTGTGTCTGATTTAGCACTAATTGAACCACCATTCTTCGATACTCGAGCATACGAGGTAATTTCATAGCAACTTCCATTCTTGAATAATAATACACTTAAAATTAACACTAAATTAAACATTTTGTTACTTTGAGTCAACATCTCTTTTTTTGCAGGTTCCTTCCTCCTTTTTTCTCGAACAAACTGTTGACTTTTCGGTTGTGTCAATTTAAATTGTTAATGAGCTTTTATGCATAAATTTTTTATATCTCAATTAAATTCAAAGCTCCTCTTTCTTGCCTTTTTGAACACAATGGCTTTTTTCCACTTATGGATGGATATATATGCTCGGTACACACAACATACACACACACACAATAGAAAATAATTTTCTGGCGAGAAAGTTATTCTAAAAAGAATAAATCTCCGTATATTTCCTTTCCTCTTTTACAGACAGCCTCCATTCAACATAGGTTCTCTAAATTAATTTCTTTCTACCGCTGCTGCTGCTGCTGCCTCGTGCTCAGTCTATTTAATATTCTTTACTTCCTTTTTATTATTATGAATTTAACATTACACTTTTTTCTTGTGCCTTGCTTCTTCATCCAAAAAAAAAAAATTGAATGCGAAAAACTTCAACATGAACTTATATGACAACCTTGTGTATTTGCCTTGTGCAGATATGATGAAGAAATATAGCTTTTGACGGATGACGTCTGTCTCACAACTTTTCACCGATTATAATAAAAGAAATGAAAATATTGAAGATAAAAAAAGATGTTTCAGATTTTTTTTTTCTTTATTTTCTTTTCGTCTTCTGTGCCTTTCTCTCTATCGATTTAAACCGGAGGGGCGGTTCGGCTGTTCTATTTGCATACACCGACTTTTTCGATGACTTTTAAATGATAATTTCAATAAAGCTAATATCGCAAACGAGTCAAGTATTTAATGTGAATACGTACAGTAGGGAGAGACCGATAGACATATTCGCAAGGGGGAATTAGCATGAAGGAAAATTGTACAAAACAATGACAAGTTTGAAATTGATTCTCATCGATTTTTCTCTAAAAAAATATGTATGATTTGGAAAACATTTCCTCACCATGTTGTTACCCCCTTGCATATTCGACTTTTCCAATTTTAACTTTTATCACATTCTAGATATTGATTTCAGCCTCCCCACCTTATACATTCGTATAGACACTTTCTAAAGACGAGAAGCAAAAAAAAGTGAATGCTTTAGTGATAAAAAAGAACTCTTCTGTTTGTCCTAAATGTTTTTCTTTCCACAACTATGTTCTAATATCAAATTTAAACAACGAAACGTAAAGAAAAAAAAAATGAAATGAAACGTAATAATAAGCAAAAGATGAAATAGAAACCTTTTAGATTAGGTATTTAAGGCATTGAGGAAGTTTTCATTTAATGATGTTGTAATGTAGCTAAACACACTCACTTGTATTAGAAATTCTTTTGAAAAGAAAAATTAAACTCGACATCACTAAAATGCGGAAAAGTTCTTTCTTTTTGGTAAAAATGCGTATGTGAAAGGTCGGTGAAGGTTTGTTATGGCAATAAGAGGAAAGTCAACTAGTAAAAAAGGTAGCGATAAAGACGCATTCATTTAAACTCCATATAGATTGAGCCAGAGCTGTCTGACGCTGTTTAACGTCATGTTTTCTGAGATCTACCCCAAAACCTGGCCTTTGCCTTGTGTGTATTTATATTTTCTACAAAGAATCTATTTATCTCAGACTTAAAAAATGGTAATGGAACCTTCAAACTCTTCTCCACCCAATAAATTCCTTAAATGTGCTCCCTAATCATATTAATCAACATCACTCCTTAAAATTGTCAACAAGATGATAACATTCGTTATTGAAACACTTCCGTATATTTTTGATGTGTAGGCGCCACTTAATATTATTTCAATAAGCTGCTCTTCAAAAAGTTTTTAAAAGGAATGTCTTAAATAATTTATATAAAGTATCAAAAAGATTTTATTATATCTTCAATTTGAACTTGCCTTACACCTACATTTCGTCAGTATTATGGAACTTACCTTAAGGAATAGGATTATAAGCAATTAAGGGAATTGAAGGCGAAAATAATATAATGTGTGTAGGTTTGGGAAATTATCAACAGCTCATAACATCCTCTAGGGTTTTAATCAATATGAGCAAGATGGAACAGTCAATATTATTAATTTTTAATTTCATTTCCAGGATATTCTCTTAGTTTGTCATGTCAAAAAAGAAACAGAAATGCTCTAAATTCTTTAAACTAAGCTTCCAAAAAAAAAGGTATAATAATCTTGGTTCATTCATGAAATGTAAAATCTAGAATGTTTTGAGGTGCATCTTTGGAGCTTATGTACGAAATTACGCTTAGATACCATTTTTAAATTAGTCCTTATGTTTTTTTCAGAGATCGAAGCCGATTTTTTCGGCTTAACTCAATTTTTGATTTTTTTGATAGAAAAAAGCCATTTGACACCCATTTCAAGTATTCAAACTGAACTTTACATGCTTTACTATGATTCTGTGTAATATTTTGTCAGCATGTAGCTATAGTGAGCTCAGAATTTCAATTTAGCCGATTTTAAGCCGATCGGCTTAAATTTCGGCTTAACATTCTTTAACTTGAAATTCTGAGCTCACTATAGCTACATGCTGACAAAATATTACACAGAATCATAGTAAAGCATGTAAAGTTCAGTTTAAATACTTGAAATGGGTGTCAAATGGCTTTTTTCTATCAAAAAAATCAAAAATTGAGTTAAGCCGAAAAAATCGGCTTCGATCTCTGGTTTTTTTCCTTTTTTAAAGGTAACTTCCATGTGCCAACATTACAGCTCATCTTTTATTTAAGAAAACTTTTCAAACTTTGCCACAAAGAACATCCTATAAACAATCGTTGAGTAAGTTTAAGTCATGCTCTACATTTTGTAAGGAAGCATTAACAGAATATCGAACGATATAATTCCTTTAAATATTTAGAGAAGCATCAGTTCTTATTCCAATAATATATTTCAATGATATCCATTTACATCAATAGAAGTCGAGTTGATCCGATACTTGAAAGCATTCACATATGTAAATGCACAGACATGATACAGGTATATTTTATAATAAATATATCCTCAAAATCCATATAATTCTATCTGAATGACTTCAATTTTCAGTTGACTTTCACTACCTCAAATCCCTTTCATTTGAATGAAAATACTATGTCAGTAAATAATGTTAGAAATATGTCAACGGTAGTTGATACATGCCTGAATAATTTTATCTCCACATTCACATCTTTCATGATTCCAATTGGGATTTGAAAAATCATTGTTGCCGTATCTCATAGATGTGAAAGTGTATTAATCTCTCTCACATATAAATTCTTTTCTCATCACGAGAACGTGTCAACACTTTAGTGCTAATTGAAGGAAAATGAACTATATAGATTTTTGGGTTAGACACAGTTCTGAATTCTTTCAATTCTCGAATACCTTCAAAAATCACATGTCTATACGGAATATTGCAATTTACAGTTATGTATTCATAAACAGTCATTCATGTGTTACTGAATAATGTAGATCAATAGGAAATCAGTTCACAAGCAGAGGGACTTTTACTATATAAGCTGATTACTATAAATGAAAATTGAAGAAATGTGCATTCATTAAATAAATTGAAATTTGAAAAACACGACTTACGTAGAGAGTCAATATCTTCCGCACTCGACTTAATTTAGATTATTATTATATTAATATTATTTATTTGTCGACGTTACCGTCCGGAAGAATTAGTATTTATACATGTTTTACTTTATACATTGATTAGTGATACATTTCATATCACTATGGGTGACGTAGAATCAAGCTTCTAATCTTCAAATCTAGGTTTCGATTAAATTCAGGCTCTCGTTTCAATCTTCTGTGGGCGTGACGTGATACATTTCAGGTCCGTTCTGACAATATTCCATTATAAGGTAATCTTGTAGCTCTCGTTCCTATTTCTCCCGCTACACTTCAAGTTCCTGATCCGTTCCTTAATCCAACGTTGCCCAAAATGCCCAATTATGGCTTGATCTCGTACATTAAGCAGTCGAAGTATCTAAACTTCTGAAAAAGAACAAATTTGGAAATGGCTGGATTCGAACCGACGACCTTCGAGTTACCATACCAAATTTGAGCCAAGCGCCTTACCTATTCGAACAGCAAGGCACTTAACTGCATACACTTATACACTTATAATATAGAATAAAAATGGAAACACAAGCATATGTTTCAAGATTCAGAGCTTTGCGAGATAGCTACGTCATTCCAGTCTTAGTATTTTTAATCATATTATAAATAGTGAGCTGAAGTGGCTCGGTGGCAGAATGGTTTAGTACTTCGGTACCTAATTATTGTAATACTGACACAGCGATCATGGGTTCGAGACTGGGTATGGGAAATCTTTCACTAGTCTTTTTTTGAATCATATGTATTTCATCGTTCTAAAATCATACAACAAAACTACTTTAGTCATGAAATAAAGCTAGCACATCTGCCACAAATAAATAAGTTTAAGAAATTATTGATTAAATATCAAGAAATTTTTCATTTTTAAAAATCTAATTAGTAAAAAGTTTTGATAAGGTACTTAATTGCTGCTTACCAACACGTCTGTACCTTTATCATAATTAACAGAAAATGGAAGCAGGTTGGCATTTTCCAATTGTATGTTCAACTTTGATCTTTGATGCGACATTAAAATTCCGGTCTTAAACCTCCCCAAATTAATTAATTGCTTTTATGAAGTAAGTCCCCTAGAAATTGTGCTTGAGAGAACATCCATCTAAATGCGCTTAAAGCTCATTGAAACTGAAGGATGAATTAGAATGAATTTTATGTCTCTAAAAGAACACCGCGACAGCATAAAACAACGTTTAAATAGACATTAAAATAATAATAATATTTGAAGTGAAAAAGCAGGTGTAAAACTCTTTGAATTTGATGCAACAGCGTTATTAAGTACGGTAGAAAATGATGTTTATTTCAAGAAACTTTTTCATTTACTTAACATAAGTTTTGTTCCATCGTCTCTAAATTTCCCGCTCCATTTCATTCTTCCTTTATTACCCATTTCCATTATAATGTTGTTGAATATTTTTTTTTTGCTTCCATCCTCTTGCTTCCGTTTTTTTTTTTCAATGAGCTTCTATTAAATATCTCGAGTGAAGGAGCAACATTATGTTAGCATTCATCTTTTATGCATATACATGCACCACATTACCGCACAAATTAAAGTTGTTTTCTATCAGAACAGAC